GTCGTATATGGTGAATAACCCTGTATATAATTTTATATCCATCTAACAAAAAATGATCGCCTACCAATAATATATATTAGCCTATCTTATACTAGTCTGTGACATTAGTAATAAATAAAACACATTTTATAATCGTTTATAATTTATTGCTATAATAATACAGCTACTTCACGTCAATGAAAACATTGAAAACATTTCTTTAGTATATCATAACCTGTGTATTGTATAGGATCCTACAGACATTTAGAATAGTACACTTAGATTTGTTTGTGCAAACTAATACTCAACAACAAACATCAATAAGTTTATATAAATCACAATGTTTAAAGGGCCAAATTATGTCCCGTATATTATTAATAGTTTTTATTTCTCATCCTGTGTCGCACATCTAAAATTATTATATACATACATTGGGATAATAAAATACTAATTTTATATTTATCCGAACATCCAAACACTTCTATAAAATATACTCGTTATATACTTTGATTTCTTTATAACAATCTTGAAACAGATCATAAAGTAATTCACTGAGGAACAAAATAACTTTAACAACTATAAAAATGATTAATGCTAAGATTTAATGCCCAAATCATGAATAAATACAGCACTATCGGAAAAAAAGGGCGTCAGAGTATGTTTGGAAATGCCGACTGATGACATTATATATATATATATATATATATATATATATATATATATATATATATATATATATATATATATATATATATATATATATATATATATATATATATATATATATATATATAATTGGAGATATGTATAAAATGTCATAGATCTTCATTTCTATGCAAACTTTAACGCCCGTTTTTTTCCATCGCGGGGTATAAACAAATCATACCATATGATCGAATAAAAACGGCGTCAGCGATGGCTATGAAATGAAGATCGCCGCTGTCATTTTATATGTAAAATTATATGGGAAATGTCATCGATCGTCATTTCCAAGCCAACTTGACGCCATTTTTTCGATCATACGGTACTATCATAACAAGAAAAATAAAATGTTTTGAAAATTTTGATATTTATTTTTCATTCACCCGTTCGCCCAAATATTCTTGCTATGCTCCTTTATGTATATACAAACATGACACAAAAATAATATAATATCAATTTCAAAAAATATACACAATATTTTCAAAAACTATACAATATTTATAAACAAACAATGGCACAGTTTTATATATTTATACAAAAAACAACATACCCCAATAATATACACAGGGTATTTTATAAATTAAAAAAAAAACATTCATAAAAACAAACAAAAATTAATAAAAAAAACATCTTACTAATAAAAAACCAAGAGCAACTATAGATACATAAAACATTTTTAAATTGTATAGAAATTGCGTTATAAAGTCGATTATAAAACATTTTATAGTAGTTATAGATTTATTTAATAAATACCCTCTGTATATTAGACTCAAAGCAATAATTGTAAAATACTGCTAAAATTTTTAATGACCGATGATTTAGGTAAATTTTGATTTCAAAGCTATTTTGTACTTTGAATTGCATTTAAAATGGTCAGCGAAACGCGCGTCAAAGTGTTGTTAAAGTGTCAAATATAAATATCCATGAGGAACAGGTTAATTTTCATGTCATTTTTAATTTATTTTTAATCAATTTAAAATGAAAACTAACGCCAAGCTCAAATTTCATCTAAATGAATTAATAAAGAAATATATTTAGGTTTCATTAGTTGTAACATATAGGATGTTACCAATAAAACCTAAGAGGCAAAATAAATCTAATAGTGCTTTGTGATTGTGACCATCAGCCCATCAGTCATGACAATTTCTAGCAGTATTTGTTCAACGTTCCATCACATCACAAATGAACACCCTTTCCACACAAGTCAAAATGTGTGACGTGGTCAACAGTTTGGCTGGATTCAAAACACTTCTTGCATAAAATTGCAAAAAACCCTTACTTCTGAACACATAAAATGTCGGTATTAATTTACTATTCGGCTTTAATAGTTACAATTATCATACAATGCGTTCAAAGAATTTAAAACACATAAAAACCAGTGTAATCTCAGATTTTCCCGATCACAACCAGTTGCAGATACACATTTAAATATATATTTTGATTAATAAATTGGCCCATCAGGTAGAATAATTTTTGAAACACAAAATAAGATATTTAAAAATATTATTTGTATCAAAAATTGCTTAAAAGTTACGTAAAAATATATGATTTTTCCGTAATTAATTAATAAGATGTATTTAATACATTCGTCGTTTCCTGGTGTTGTAGTAAAAGCGAACTTGGTTTTGACATTTGACAGTGTATTGACATCCTGTATGGAAGTACAGGAGATGAAGCAAAATAATGAAAATACCATACAATCGAAAAACAAACAGTGTTAGAGATAGCTTGGAAATGAGGATAGCTGTCATTTTATATGTAAAATTAAATAGGGAATGTCATCGATCGTCATTGACAAACCAACTGAACGAACTAGGTAATAGAGCCAAATGTCTTCTGTAGTGTTCGGATCAGTATGATACACATAGAAAACATATTGATTTATAAAATAGAATTATCATTTATTAATGTATTATAAAATTTTACTTTTTCACTATTCTACTACTTTTTAGTTTTATTGAAAAGAACATTTTTTAAATATGAATTTACCAAAAGAAATAAAAAAGTATCTTTAAATTAATATGAAATGGGTATAGTACATTCCAGTTTTGACATATAATATTCTAACAGCCTTGACATATAATATTCTAACATCAGAAAAATTACATGAATAGAACTATAGTATATCTCAGTGGCGTGCAGTGCTAGTCAGACCAGGGTAGGCAAAAATTGGTATAATAAAAAAACTAGCATAAGTAATTAATTAAATATTATATTTTTCTCTCTCTAAATTTTGGGAAAATTTTTCAGATTTGGCATCGCTGCGCCGGATAGCGGCCGACTACGTCGACGTCGCAAAGGCACACTCCCATTTTAGCCCCCCTAGAGACAATAGCTTTTTTCGGGTTCTTGTTATTACCGATTCTGAACCGTCCTAGAACTCTGCAGCGCATGCGCAAATGAAATAATGTCTTCATATTTCCTTCTGCGCATACGTATCACAGTTCTAGGACGGTTCAGAATCGGTAATAACAAGAACCCGAACAAAGCTAATATAAAGAAACCAAACTGCCTTCGCGTAAATCATATGGAGCGCCTTTATGGTGAATTTGATTTGGGAATTGCGCGATAACGCAGTAGTCGAAAATTAATTTAGTATATGTTAGTTAATCTCTAGAATAAAAAATAAGATAAAACATGCTTATTACTGATATTTGTTGGATTATTAATGAGCTATAATGTAATGTAAAAAAAAATTATAATTTTGTCTGGGTAGGCAATGCCTCTTTGCCTACATTGTGTGCACGCCAGTGGTGTATCTGCAATTAGTATTGTAAAATTATTTATCTTTTAATTAAACTTTTCAATACGTTTTCAATTTTCTTGAATACATCGTACAAACAAAAACTCACAATCTTGCAAAGTGAGAAACTAATTTGTAAAACAAATTTTTTCTCTCAATCTACTTTCTACTACTTACGAAAATACCAAATTATGCGCACAATTAAAAATACAGTCTTAAAATATCTCGATTTCTTATAAAGGAACCGAATATAAGATAATTGAAATAGTAAAAAGGGTTTTTGAATATACAATTTGTTTTCCAAATTACGTTAACAACATGTTAAGTATATTCAAGTAAATATGTAGTCAAAGAGCTAGCAAGTTTTTCGAGAGAGAATTTTAAGAAAGCTGGCTCTTTAATATATCTTTTGTTATACTCTCTGGAACATATAATACTCTAATATAAAGATTTTTTGGAAGCCTGAATCACCCTGTGTATAAAAAATAATAACTAACCTCAAAAACAATTCAATATAATTGAATCAAAATATAACTTTTTACTATTTCAATCTTTTTTCAAAAAACAGAAATATGAACAGAATTTGGCACAAATATTGCTATATAAACATTTAATAAGTCAGTGAGCAATATGTTTAATTTTACAGCAGACTATACGTATTAAGTATATTGTTTATTACACTATTTATATCTAGGTTATTCTCTTTTTTTATATTATATCTATTACATATACTAGTTGTGCGTTTAGCATTTTTCAACTCCAATTTCTAAGTATGACACTCATCTAAACCAACAATTATTTTTAAACTCTCTACAGGACTGTTTTTTTGAATTTTTATTTTTTGTCTATTTTATGGCAATTAATATATTTTTTCAAATAGATAAAAAAATTAAAATATTATTTTCCATAAATAAAAAAATAACTGCACAAAATATAGTTAAAAATGGACCTACCGTATGAAATGGCGTCACAGTGGCCTTTGAAAAACATTCAATATTTTCTGTTGGACTAATCTTTAAAAATCTCTCTAAAAATTTGTCATTTTTTTAACAAAAAACATATAGGGATCAGCCTGGCAAAAATATAATTAATTGTCATTTCAAAGAACACTGTGACACTGTTTTTTATTGTATGGTTATTAATAGGAACTGATATACAAAAAATTGTTGAGGCTACATATATATTTTTAATGTAAATTCGAATTCCCGAAAATTAATTGATTTAGTCCTTTTGAAAAAAATTTAAAAAACAAATAACATCATTCAATATAACTAACAAACATTCTCTAAAAATAAAAAATATAACAATTTATTTGCATAAATAAATTATAGTAAGTTTCGGAAAGTTCATATTAGATATTTTTCGAAATGTTTTTCCAAGTTTCATTTTTATTTTTAATAAATGACTAGATAGATCATTTTTAGTTTTATAAAAAGATATCCAATTAAAAAAATAGTTATGTACCCTGACAAAATTAAAAAAAAAATTATATTCGATTGACTGGGTACTGTAGATAAATAAATTAATTAAACTAAAACATAAGTATAAAATAATATTTACAAGTTCCTTATTTATTTTTAATAAAATCATATATAATTTAAGATATTTTTATCAGCTTCGTATTCCAGAACAAAGTAAAAAAATACTAATATGTTGCTATAAAAGTAACAATTTAGGTTAATATTAAATATCTGGAATGGTATTATTCAGTGATGAAATAAATATAATTTTTTACTATACAATGAAATTCGGGATATACTGACCATTACACAATTCATCACAATAACATTACACATCGTATTTAGGTTTCGCAACATTCTCTGAAGGTTGGTGTCTCATTTTAAAGCATTTTCAAGTAGTATAATTAAATAACTATGAACCTGTCGTTACATCTCCACTAAAGAGAATATTTTTAACAAAAAGAAGCAATAAAATAGTATATTTTCCTGAAACATTTTGTAGTTAGCTTTAATGGTCATAACTATAAATAAAAAAAAATATTTTTTAGATACGTAAATCGTGGGGTTAGTTGACAAAACAGTACTATTCGATCGAAAAACAAACGTCATTTTATATGTATTTCCAAGCTAATTAGACGTCGTTTTTCTGACCAGCATTAAGAAGAAATAATAATAATTAGATTTTATGTCTATGTTTCGACACTGTATACTGTTCAAACGATGACAGATTTTAACCACTAGGTATTCTTTTTTAGTTCAACCAGTTTTTTTTTCAATTTTCCTCCCAATAATAGTACAACACAATAAAGAACTGAAAAACTAATAAAAAGGTTTACGATAGATTGGACAGGCCCACTTTTGCCACTCCATACAAGTTTATTATTAAAATCGGTAATAAATTATGTTCAGTTCTGCTCGAGACCCAACAACAATATTTCGCATTCTTCTGTCAAGTGATTGTCTCTTTGAAATTAACCGCAACGAAAAATTAACCCAGATGCGATTATACCAATTCCAGAATATTTATTATTCCCCTACTATTAGCTGCCAGTATAACATTAGAATTCTGTTTCCAACAGACGGCCGAGACAAATTCATTCGTGTCGTCTTCCCGCCGTTCCGGTTCTAACACGCCCTCTACCGTTTCAAACTTATAACTAAACAATTTCTTCGTTAAACCCTTGTAATATACAAAGAGAGCGTTGTTCTCCGAGCCGCAAGCGATGAAATTGCCGTCTGTGGCCAGACCTACGAAATTTTTCTCGTTCACGTGACCAACGAACGACCTGAGGCAGTGAGGCGTTTCAATGTTCCACATTTTCAGCTGAGAATCGGTCGAGGCCGACACGATCTCTTCGCTGTTTAAAAATTTGACGTAACTCACGGCTTTTTTGTGACCTTTGAATATGTTCACCGCCTCCTTCATGTTGCGCAGGTCGTAGTAGTGGACGCAGTGGTCAGCGCTGCCGAAAGCTAGGTGCGAGGAGCTCTTCGGATTGAACTTGACGCAGCAGACGTTGGCTTTGGCTTCCAGGGTGGCCACGGAATGGGCTTCGTTCAGAGAGTAGAGTTTTACCCTGGCGTCGTCTGATCCTGAAAATAATAAATATTATTTAGAATTTAGATTCAGTTTCACTATTTTTTAGTTATCTTAGCTAATAGTCTCCTAATAATCTCTTAAAGATAAAACACCACTGGAAAGGTCGGGTATTTATGAAATTTCGTACAAAGATTGTAATCAGAAATATGTTGGGCAAACTAGAAGATTAAAAGTAACTATATTTAATAGTGGTTCAAGTGATATACCGGGTGCGTCTCAAAAGTGGCTCACCCCTATAACACTTTTATTTTTTCTGATAAAAAAACGAGATTTGGTATGTTAGTATATGACATAAATCAGGATCGATTGACGTATTCAAATGTTTTCGGTCACTTCCTGTTTCACCGGAAATGACTACAACTTTTGATTTTTAAATGGCACCCTGGGTATATTTAAACTTTATTCAATAGAAAATGACACTCTGAGTAAAATGACATATCATATGTCAACTTTTGACATTTTCGCTTAAAAAATCGTATTTTAAATTTCAATCTAGAGTGCCAAGCCATGTGTGTGAATTTTTAATAAAGGAGCTTTGAAAAAATAGATTTGATCGTCTAACGTTTTTCGTATCTTGTCCTGGCCGGTTAGAAGATGCCTAAATCGTATTTTTAATCATATCTCAATTTTTTTAAATGGAACAAGGGTGGCTCATTAGCATATTTAGAAAAAACATTTTTTTACGAATAATTTGTTACCACACACTTGGCAGTTCGAGTCAAATTGTCGTTATGAACAAAAAGGGGAAAAACTTTTTCTTTTGAAGAGCGTATGCTACTTAGACTTAGTTTAAATGGACATGCTGTATTAGTTCCAATGAACTATTTTTGATTATTTTTGATATTACAAAAATATATACAGGGTGTTCCAGGCTGAGCGTGCATTAGAAGTTTCTAGAGAACTACAACATCTAGCTCAGAGATTTTTTGCACATCATAGTTTCACAACGAGATCTATCGATTAAAAATATTTTCAATATGGCGGCACTTCCGTAAATACCAGAAGTTGACAGCAACTTTCTTATTTTAAATGGGTGCCCCCATTTTTAATTACGTACTTAAATTCTATGTAAAATTTTATAAATTTTGATATTAAACAGTCTATATCTAACATTAACCGTTTTTGAGAAAAACAATATTTAAAATTTTTGAACGAAAAAAACTGCCTGTCAAAAATGTGTATATAAATAAGCTTAAACGTCAAATTTAGTGATTACCACAGCCACTGTGTCATAAAGAAAAAAACACGTGGATATCTATTTTAAAAATTAAATTGTTCGAATGTCATATAATAATGGCCGCAATTGTCATAGAATTGAGCAATTAAAAAAGTATCATAAATTATTTTTTCCAAATGGAAACCCCCTTTTTTATGTCACTAGTGAAAAGGCTTTTCAATTCGTTACTTTTTAACTATACATGTTCCTATACCTAAAATAAATCGTTTTTGAGTTATTTAAGATTTAGTTTTAAAGCGTATATTTTTCTTGATTTTAACCAGTAGCCTATGACTTTAAACGTCAAGTGAGGTAAAACAATAGATCTGGCCATGTCATATTGTGACGCTTTGTTCAAAAAGCAGCATCATTTTCGAGCCAACTTTGCGCTGTTTTTTTTCGATCATACGGAATATTATTAATAAATATCAACTATTAGATAGAGTAAACGCCACGAATGTTTGGGAGTGATTCATCGCTTGATGAAGTTAGAATCGACACGCGCGTTATAATTTTTACAAAAAAAACGTAAATTTTTACCGCAGACGTAGGTTTTTAAAGCCCGGTCTAATCATCTGCCTGCGCTCCTTCTACTTATTCTAAAATGTTAGCGCGATTGACAAAGACGATACTATATCGCGTTTCTTTGATTGATTCGTTTTTGTGCGTCAGTCCATTGGTGTGCTTGCAGTGCGACCAATGGGGCATTCCATTTTATATTTATAACCAAATATATGTTTTGACAAGACTTTGACAGTTAAAACAACAAATTACAACAGATTATATATTGATTATTATATGACTTGAAACACCACGGCACTGGAATTAAGTTTTATGTGACCTTGAACAGATTAGTTCACATGGTAGCGACCGATGAATCACTCCCAAACATTCGTGGCGTTTACTATATCACTAAAGAGCGAAAATACGAGATATATTTTTATAAATACACTTTTTAAACCCTTAAGCAGGCAGTATTTATACTATGGGAAATTCAAATAATTCGTTTCCTGACAGATGGAAATAAAGTCTGACCGTTTGACATTCAATGGCAAAGGAAGCTAGATAAAATGAAGAAAAATACAGATTTTCAAACTCAATCTTAAATAACTTAAAAACGACTTATTTTAGGTATAGGAACATGTATAGTTAAAAAGTAACGAATTGAAAAACCGTTTCATTAGTGAAATAAAAAAAAAGTGGGTTTCCATTTGAAAAAAATGATTTATGGTAATTTTTTAATCACTCAATTCCATTACAGCTACCGCCATTATTATATGACATTTGAACAATTTAATTTTTGAAATAGATAGCCACATGTCTTCTCTTTATGTCACAATGGCTGTGGCAACAATATGACATGGCCAGATCTATTGTTTTACCTCACTTGACGTTTAAAGTCATAAGCTACTGGTTAAAATTAAGAAAAATATACGCTTTAAAACTAAATCTTAAATAACTCAAAAACGATTTATTTTAGGTATAGGAACATGTATAGTAAAAAGTAACGAATTGAAAAGCCTTTTCACTAGTGACATAAAAAAGGGGGTTTCCATTTGGAAAAAATAATTTATGATACTTTTTTAATTGCTCAATTCTATGACAGCTGCGGCCATTATTATATCACATTCGAACAATTTAATAGATATAGATAGAACAAAATAGATAGCCACACAGTGGCTGTGGTAATGACTAAATTTAATTTTTGGGCCATACAAATTTTTTTGACAGGTAGTTTTTTTCGTCCAAAAATTTTAAATAATTTTTTTCTCAAAAACGGTTAATGTTAGATATAGAGTGTTTGACATCAATGTTCATAGAATTTTACAGAGAATCTAAGTACGTAATAGAAAATGGGAGCACCCATTTAAAATAAGAAAGTTACTGTCAACTTCCGGTATTTCCGGAAGTGCCGCCATATTGAAAATATTTTTAATCGATAGATCTCGTAAAACAATGATGTGCAAAAAATCTCCGATCTAGATATTGTGGTTCTCTAGAAACTTCTAATGCAGGCTCAGTCTAGGACACCCTGTATAAAATCAATAAATTCCAGTTAATTTTTTAGTATTCACCGAGTATATTAACAAAAACTGTCTTATTTCTTACCTGATGCAATCAAGCGCGTATCCACGCAATTGAAATCCACGCTCCAACACCGTTTCTCGTGCTCCTGGTAAGTCTTCGTTCTCTGTCCCGTCGAGGCGTCCCAAATGGTAACCGTCCCCTCGTAATCGCTGGACGCCAACGTACTCTTATAGTAATTGTGCCAGCTGACGCACGAAATCTTTGATCGCGATAGCATCTCCAAACAAGGGTAGTGTATATTGACCACGTCCTTCATAACTCCTCCATAATCGAACACCTTGATCTGTTTTGTTACTCCGGCAATAGCGAAAAACTCGTTATCTTTATCGAATTCTATGCTCGACACTATAGTGGAGTTGTTAAACAGATCACTGGAGTAGTTCAAGGATGTCAATACTCTCAGCGAGTTGTGAGCTGAGAATTTGATCAGGCTCTCTCGGAATTGGTCCAAGCCCGGATTGGGCTCAGCTACCGAGGAGGCAGATTTCGTTTTGTTATCAGCCTTTCCTAGTATCAGGTCTTTGGACCTGCTGGAGAAATAGCAGTCGACGAAATCGTCGAAGTAGGCGTGCATGCGTCTACGTCTCATGGCGAAGGAAGCTGAAGGTCGCGTTGGCGTTTCAGAAGACTCCTCTTTTCCACCTAAAACGCAGAAAATAATTTACAGGGTGAGTCAACGATAGAGCAAAGTCCATAGAGCAGTTATTGAAACTATAGAATTATCAAGTACGAAGTTTGTGTACCGTGTGTCCCACTAAGAATAGCTGTCGGCTGTATCTCGGAAAGTATTAGCCGTAGAGCCTACGGAAAAAAATATTTATAACTAAAAGGACTATGAGAAATTGCTGGAAATTATTTTCAAGTTTGTAAAAAGGCCGCTAGAGGGCGCAACTGCTATGGAAAATAAGAGAATAGAATTTTTACAGAATTTTGCCTATATAATGGGTACTATAAATAATATCTTCATAATCTTCATTAAATTTTGGATTTTCTTTATTAGAACCATTTTCCCCTATCTGCTAAAATAAAGTGGTGGGGGAAGGTTAGATCTATCTTTATTTCAATATCAATAACTCCGGACTGGATGATCAGAATCCAACAAACGAGAGCTCGTTTAAAAGAGCGTTGCTTACTCTATATTATAGTATAAAAATAATAATAATAAGGTTTTGAACGTAGACGCTAGGGGGCGCTTTCTTACAATTTAACAAACATAACGCGTTTTTTCAAAAAAATTAAATATGATAGTATGTGTAATTTTAGCTAATAGTAAAGAGTAGTAAAAGCTTAAAAATTCAGCGAAAACCGCATCTTGATATCTTCTCTCAAACCGAAGATATTAGCAAAATTATAATAAATACCAAAAAATAAGCCCTTAATTACCTTATTTTTACAATACGGTATCAGTAGCCCTCTTGATTATGCCCATTCTAACCTAAAAATAAGATAGAAACAGTTAGTATATTTTAAAATCGACGATATACCAGAATATCATAATATCAGATGTATTAATATCTAATAATTAAGATATTAATAATAGTGAACAAGAAACGATGATTCAGTGAAGTCATGGTAGGCTTTGGAAAAAAGTTGCTTTTGACATAATAGTATAAACGTCAAATTGATATTAGATCAACATTTTGATAGACTTAGCAGCGTTTTTTATCTTTTTATTGCTTTTTCAAAATGCCAACAACTTCAACTACTTCAAATAATAAAGGCATTTTGAAAAAGCAAATAAAAGATAAAAAACGTTGCTAAGACTATCAAAATGTTGATCTAATAACAATTTGACGTTTATATTATTACGCAAAAAGCAACTTTTTTCCAAAGCCTACCATGACTTCACTGAATCATCGTTTCTTGTCCACTGTTATTAATATCTTAATTATTAGATATCTCTGGTATTATGGTATTCTGGCATTTCGTCGATTTTAAAATAAGCTAACAGTTTTTATCTTATTTTTTGTTAGAATGGGCATAATCAAGAGGTCTACTGATACCGTATTGTAAAAATAAGGTAATTAAGGGCTTATTTTTTGGTATTTATTATAATTTTGCTAATATCTTCGGTTTGAAAGAAGATATCAAGATGCGGTTTTCGCTGAATTTTTAAACATTTACTACTCTTTACTATCAGCTAAAATTACACATACTGCATTTAATTTTTTTGAAAAAAAGCGCAACGTTTGTTAAATTTAAGACAACGCCCTCTAGCGTCTACGTTCAAAAGCTTATTATTATTGTTTATATGGTACAATATCGAGTTAAGGATCGTTCTTTTAAACGAGCCCTCGCTTGTTGGATTCCGATCCAGTCCAGAGTTAATAATATTTAAATAAAAACAGATCTAACCTTCCCCCACCACTTTATTTTGGTAGATAGGGAAAAATGGCTCAAAAAATGGAACAAAAAATATTCAAAATTTACTGAAGATTATGAAGCTATTATTTATAGTACATCTTATCTAGGCAAAATTGTGTAAAAACTCCATTTTCTTATTTTTTGTTGCAGTTGCGCCCCCTAGTGGTCGTTATACAAACTTGAAAATAATTTCCAGCAATTTATCATAGCCTCTTTAGTTATAAACATTTTTTTCCGCAACTCCTACGGCTAATACTTTCCGAGATACAGCCGAGAGCTATTCATAGTGGGACACCCTGTACATTAATGTAACGCTGTTTCGGGTAGTAAAAATTCCGTGAAAAAGAACTCGAACTCGACGCGTTGTGTTGTGACAATTTCAGATCATAATAAAAAAGGGGCGTAATTGCGTGGTTGTGGGGTGCGATGACACTCAATACAACTCTTCCGGAACAACATTTTACAGCTTCCCAGCTTTATCACACCTATTTAATCGAAAGCAAAAATTGATTCAGACAGTTCGACGAAACAAGTGACTAAACAAAGTGTAAAATTATGCTCGCTACCATAGTTGTAGCTGTACGTGTGTTATTACTCATCTAAAAAATTTTATTAGCTGGAATAATAAAATATAATACAAATTAACATTAGACCTTTTGAAGATATCAATAGATTTACCTGTTTTTTACAAATTGCATTTACTAATACTTTTTAACAAATATTATAACACATTTTTCGTGAACTTGCTTTTAAGCACGTGTATTTGTTTAAGTCGGTTGTTTACGGGATTCCCCGATGGTGGCAGCACCGGTAGAGAATGCACCATAGTGTAAGAATAGAGTCAATTTTTGTGAATAAGACTATAGCGGTTTTGATACTAGCCCTGGCCACTTCATCTACGTGGTTTGTATTTTAATGTATGCGACAGAGATAAATATAAACGACCGGTTGACAGACAGAGAGACAAAATAAAAAGCGACGTATAGTGTTGCCGATTTTTATGTTTGTAGAAAAATGTGCGTAGAAAAATATAAACTATTTTAAAAACTTTCATGTATACTACTGAAATGAAGATAACATATCTAAACTAAATATACTCTATTACAGCTGTAGCAAAATGAGTAACCAATTGTGAAAAATAAAGTTCCAACCCTAGATGCAACATTTTTCGCCTACTTGTGCGGTTTGAAATTTTGATGCAAAATCCGGCAATACCGCATAGAAGAAATGTGGAACCCAATTTTTATCTCTTTTCAATACATTTGATTTTCAATCAAGTTGTCGATATCACTGTCTTACGCGTTGAAATCCAGACCACGCAGTTTCGATGACCAGATCGGTATACTATAGTATAGTTCTATCAACTTCCAGTTTAGAGATGAGTAAAGTGTCAAATACTTGTAGTACACGATCCTTTATATTTAATAAAATAATTAACCAGTTGAAATTCATTTTCATTGTCTATTTTAAGTGTAAATTTTAATTTTCTGTTTTCTAAACCTGCTTTTAAAATTAAACGACTGATAATTGTCATTGTATAGTCTATACTAATTTATCTCTGTATTTATCTATTGTAAATTATTAAGTATTGTCAAGTTTTTTTATCCACAATTTTCCATATATTATGGAAAATCAGATGAATAATTTAATAACGAAAACGTAAATTTGAGTCCTAATCTTAAAAGATACTAAGGAGTAAGTGTTTACTTTCAGAAACAATCTTGTTCAGACATTTGTAGTAAGGTTTCTATAACAACTCTTATTTCTCAACCAAGTATACATTAAAACTTGAAAATATATACATACCAGTAGACGTTCCAATGCTATCAATCATTTCAATCATCTCTTTTTTCATAGCATTTACTGTTGAGGCATCTGATTCTGACGCTCCAGCAGCTGTTCTCTCAACATCTTCCAAAGTGGGACATTTACTATGAACTTCCTTTAACTTATTCACAACCTAAAACATTTTTTCTAAATTATTAAACACTTCATTACTTAATCTAACTAATTAACCAACGTACCTGAGACTAAATAATAAATCTAAAAACACTTACCTCAATAATATCTTGTTCAATAATTGTTATTTCTTTTGCTATTTGGGCTTGTCTCTCCTTCTTCTGTTTAAGTAAATGCTTCAAAAATTCCAATACTAAACGATTTTGAGCTGCACAAGATTCCGCTTCCAAAAGCTGCTTTCTTTGGGTTAACACCTCTAGCATTACGTTCACATCTGGCAGTGTTAAGTTCTGTGATTCTGAAGCCACAAAATCTCGAAGACCATCTGCTCCAGTGCTAAACTCCCCAGAACTGTCTCTAGTAATACCTAATGCCTCATATCCATTGGTTCTTAGTTTATGCTTCTTAATGAGATCATTCAGCAAGAAATTCGGAAAAATATCTTCGTTCGTGATTGCGGCGTTGCACTTTGGGCATCTTTTCAGTGTTTCCAGCGATTTTGTGATGCAGCCAAAACAATACGTATGACCGCATTTTGTTATATGCGCTTCGTCGATTAGATTAAAACAAATGGGACAAGAAAAGTCTGAATTTTTTTCCTCGTAGCCACCAGTTTGGGGCCGAGGTCGTTTGGGGGTGCGGATCGATCCACGATTTGGCGGAATGTTACTACCGCTGTGAGAAGATGCAGAACTATTTCGTCCATCGCGGTTTGATGCCATAATGACAAACTTATTGGCAACACACCGACCTGAAACAATCATAAGATACATGACAATGATATAGTTTTATTAATATACAATAATATGATAAAATAATTAAATGCTAAAATTAACATTTATAATTATCTCATTCTGAGTTTAAACTCACAACCAAAAGTTTCTCTAAATATCAAGTTTCTCACGTATGTGAGACTTTCATGAGTCTATATTATTACGAAAAATCATTTTATTATGTGTATAGTTTATAGTTAGAAAATACAGGGTGGTCCGAATTGTATTCCGGAAACGGCAGCATATTCTGCAGATAAAAATAAGTAAAAAAGTTCGTATTAATGTATGTCCTAAAATGCTTAGTTTCGGAAATACAGGGTGTAGAAGTTTCATTTTTATTTCGATTTTTTCCAAATAATTTACGTTAATATATGGATGAAAATTGGTGTCTGAGAGTTTTTTTGATATGAGAAATTTGATTTCGATGTCAATATGACTTCTACTTGTAGAGGGCGCCAACTACATATTTTTTAACTGATTTGAAGAGTAATAACTTTTCGTTCATACCTGCATAAAACTACTCAGTAAAAAAATATACATTTACGAAGTTTTTTACGTAAAAAATGTCTCTTGGTAAAAATCGCTACCGAGTAGTGGTTCTCGATATATTTGGAATCGAAATTATCAATACCTATCAAAATTGACATAAATTAAACATGTTGACTAAATAGTTATTAGACTAAAATCATAAATTTGAAATGTTTTTGTGCCAAAAGTTCAACTGAAACTGTTTTATCATCATTTTTTCACAGAAAAGTTTATGATTAATTTAAAAACTCAACGTTTTTTCTTCTACTCAAATTTTTTGTCAATAATGACATATATTGATTATTTTCATTTTAAATATCTTGAGAACGGTTGCTCGTAGCGATTTTTAGTGACATTTTTTACGTAAAAAGTCATGGAAATGTATATTTTTTTACTCCGTAGTTTTATACAGGTACGGACGAGAGAAAAGTTATTGCTCTTCAAAACAGTTAAAGCACATGTTGGTGGCGCCCTCTACAAGTAGGAGTCATATTGACATCAAAATCAAATTTCTCAAGTCAAAAAACTCCCAGACACCAATTTTTATCCAAATAATGACGTTACTTCATAAATTATTTGCAAAAAATTGAAATAAAACTGAAACTTCTACACCCTGTATCTGCGAAACTAAGCATTTTAAGACATACATTTATAAAAACTTTTTTACTTATTTTTATCTGCAGGATGTGCTGCGGAAGTTTCCGCAATACAGTTCGGACCACCCTGTATATACTATACACTTACTACCAGTATGCTATAGAGACCTGGTCAACCTAAAGTGGTCATCTGGATTTTAACATGTAACCTCAGTGTAAGATAATGACAGACAAACCAGGAGATTCAAACATGTTAAAAAGAGACGAAAAAGAGGCTGATACATATATGCGGTACTGTCGGACTTTCTATTAAACATTTTCAACCAACCAAGGCATTTCAAATAATATCCCGACATAGGTTAGACCATCAATATATCAACAATTAATTAGTAATTTTGCTACAGGTCTAATAACCCCCATAATATTTTTTCATTGTATTGGTCTGCCAACTAAATTAAATTTTAGTTTCTACATAGCATCCAGCAACACCGCATTTATTGTGCCTGTGTGTTACCTTATTCTGACTGATTAAAATATAGACCAGCTATTTAGAATGATCAGGCTGGTATACAGAATTGATTTGTGTCAATTGAGAATGTTACTTCGTCTGGTGTAATAGGTTTTACAGAAGTATTTATTTAAAGAATGCTTTATTTTATTTGGTTATATTTCACATAAAAATTGTGTAATCTAATAATATAATCTGGTCTTTAACATATTACATTCACAATGTTATTACCCCACACTTTGTTACAATATGTGCTAGAACATACTTGGTAGAAGGTGTATTGTGATAATGATATAAGATTTTTAAAACAAAATAACTAAAAAAGAAAATTAATCTTCATAAAAGATATTACAATTAAAAAAATAGTTAATAAAATGAGTACTGTAAATTTATGAGATATATATTCTTTTAAGATCCTATAATTTTTAGAATATCTTTATTTTTTAACATTAAAAAACTGTATCAATAACTGTATATCAATACTTGTGTATCAATACTTGTTGTATGTCAAAATAAGTATACTAAATATTACTATCTATCATGTATCTAATCTTAATATTTATTTTTATTAAACACATGTCATGCTTTAAAAAAGTAATAAAGAAAAAATACAACAAAATGTTTCAGGTCGGGTCATTCCAAATAGATAAAAAAACAGATTTATGATACGAATGAAATTTAAATAATTTAAGTTAGAATCATGCAAAAAATATTAACACATATTGAGTTCTTCTCACTTAACTTTCCCCAATATGGTGGGACACCAGTAGTCAAAGCAATTAATGTTGAAGCTAATTTCTTTTAAAATAAGAAAAGCAGTAATGGTAAAAGATTCTCACCTTATTTGAACAATTTATAATTAAATTTCTCTTTTAAATGCAACATTTTTACTAAAACAACAGTAGGTCTGTAGAAAAGTTGTATAAATTTCAAAACAGATTAAATCATAAATATATTTTAAAAATGACAAAAATCTTTAAATGGACTGTAATGCAGTATCTATATGTATATACACACTACACAAATGATCCACTTCCTTGGAATTAATTTTCATTTATCCCAAACGTTACCATACACAATGCAAAATGTAGAAATGAGGAAAGGTTACACGAGAAGAACTATAAGTGTAGTAATAAGTAAATTCAAATTATTTTTTAGGTATTCCTATAATGTGTGATAATGTCAAAAGCATATCCGGAACACATTAATAAAATCTACATAACAATATTTTCAATAACAATTAACTTACAGCTGAATCTGTTCTAAAAGTTTTCCCTGAACTTCCTGATCAAATTGCTTGGCCGCTTCAGTAAGTTCAACACCTTTGTTGTTTTCACCACTATATGCCCCAAGAACTAAACCTTTCTAAAACGAAAAAGGAAGGTATTAACTAGCAAACAACAATATAACTTCCGAATTCAAAAACTTACTCTAGTAGAATTTGAAAACCTTACGGAAGTACGAATCGGCGAATATAACCTAAGAACACTTTGGCTCCTTAAAATACAAGCCATACTTTAGAAGAATAAACAGTTCTATAACACTGCGAGCTTTAGGTAGTATTGTATAGTGGTAGGTTCGAATAAAATAAAAATATTAATATTAGAAACAAAATTATTCAATAAATTCTATATATGCTTAAAAAGAAACTGTCCATAAACTGTCAAGGTATATCCACAGATTAGTTAACAACTAACTAGAACTAGAAGAAAAAAAAACAAAGATAATAAGTACATAACTTTAATCTATGGGTTAGATCATATATAATTTAAAAGGACATGTTATCTACTATTTATTTTACATTTCTAGTAGGAATCAGAGATATGGAAGTGTATTCCTTCTATATCTCTGGTAGGAATGTATAAATCATATTTTTACTGGGTAAAAAACTGGTAAAAAAGGACACCTATAAAGGGTGTTTTAAAAAAATTGCGCCTTCTTCGGTGGGGAGATTCCACAAGTGAAAATAAGATTTATTTTTATAACATGATCAACATAGGTCCGATTCTGCTTTGTTTTCTACTAGGGTTTTCTACAAAGTTTTCTAGCTACAGGTGTACAGGAGGTTAGTCTTCGAAAAAATATATATACAGGGTGTTTGTCATTAAGGATGATATGTTAATATTAAGGAGGTGATTCTTGGACCTATTCCTATTCTAAGAAAAAAACTTCATATGAATGTATCATCATATCTAACATCTTAACTTTTTAGAAACAGGGTGGTAAAATTTTCGAATTTTTTTATCAAAATATCTTTGATGTTCTTTTTTTGGTACACGTCTTCCATGCATTAAAATGCATATTTTGATATAGAAAAAAAACGTTTCATTCATTTTCTTCCAGGAGACACAGAAACGATTTCCACGCAAAAGTCAGCGGATCAGATTTTCACCGATTTGACCCTGAAGTAAACTGACTTCAATTTTTTAAGCAAAACCCTTGATTATGGATGATTATTATTATATATAGACAAGGGCAAAACTCTGCCACGGATGAGAAAAATCAAGAGATAAAAATTATTTAGAAATGAACGGAGATTTTGAAAATAATTTTTATTTTAAGAGAAAAGAGAAGTCAGTGGTGTATCAATTTTTCTTCAAAAATATGCAATGTATAACCCGTATATGGACGACACTGGTTGAAATAAATAATATTGTTTGTATCTTTGTTTGTATAAATATCAAAAAAGGTATTTTGATACATAGAAGACGTGTATCAACTTTCATAAAGATACCTGTAATAAAAGTTATTATGAAAAAATGTTTTTTTTGAGAATTTCATCACCCTATCTCAGAAATTAAGATATTCAGGACATACATTCATATGAAGTTTCTCTCTTAGAATAGGTCCAGGAATCACTTCCGTAAATATTCGCATGTCATTAAAGGAACACCCTGTGTACAGAGTGGTCCCAATAATTGTATTCCGGAAACTTCGACAGCATATTCTGCAGATAAAAATATTTTTATTCTAAAATATAAAATAAGTAAAAAGTTCCTATAAATGTATATCCCAAAATGTTTAGTTTCGGAGATACTGAGTGTAGAAATTTCCCTTTATTTCGATTTTTACAAATAATTTCTAAAGTATATACCGTCAATATATGGATGAAAGTTTGTTTCTGACATTTTTTGTCATGAGAAATTTGATTTTGATGTCAATATGACACCTATTCAATGGCTAAAGAATATAAGGACATGTAACGCCCATATACGGGCTGCAGCAGAATTTGTGACATTAGACGCCATTTTTTTCATGGCGATGATGAGTCATCAGCTGGTCATCAGCGACAATTTTAGCGATTTTTAATAGTTTGTGTATAGTGAACTTTGTATAAACGTTATTACAATGGCGATTAATTGTTCAGCTTTCAAGTGTAAAAGCCGCAGCGATAAGAAAGAGCCAGGAGTTACGTTTCATAGGTAAATAAACAGTTTGTTCCACCTTTTTAGCGTTTTCTTAATTTTCTTATTGAATTCGATAATTATTTTTCTGATATTATATGTACTTGATGTGTGCTATACGTCGATACTAGTTTTGTACCTTTTGTTATATTGTAAACGTTTTTTTCGTAATTAATTAGTATGATACTACCGTATACATCATAGGCGTAGTCAAAACAATTATCAAAAAATATAAATATCTCTTCAAACAGCTAAGGTAAGAAAAATATGTGCCATGACCTCGGGTGTTATTTGTCCTTGAATTCTTTAGTCTGCTCCTATTTATATAGGTGGCGCCACCTACATGTGTTATAACTGTTTTGAAGAGTAATAACTTTTCGTTTGTACCTGTATCAAACTACTGAGTTAAAATATATACATTTCCGTGACTTTTTACGCAAAAAATGTCTTTTGGTAAAAATTACTACGAGCAACCGTTTTCAAGATATTTAGAATAGAAACAGTCAATACATGTCCATAGACAAGAGATGATACATGTCATTGTTGACAAAAAATAAACCCGTTGAGTAGATAGTTATTTGACTGAAATAGAGAACAACGGCCTACGGTCGAATCGGCCGCTGCTGGCACGTATACGTAGACGTAAAGAATATTTTACGTGTAAAAATATAACAAATGCGCATGCGTAGTAAACGTTTACGTGTTTGCAGGCTGTGAATTTGGGAAATTTTTATTAACATTGGAAATGTTTATGTTCGTATATGGGGGCCACATTTCGAGTTTCCTTTCAAGGTCGTCAGAAACGGTGTCGCACTTAGCCGCACAGTCGACCAAATTAAAGCATCAAAACTTTGTCGCGTGATGCCTATAATTTAGATGAACTGGCCTGACAGCACGAAACTCTCGGCGATATACGAGGTTTAATTTTGTTAGTCCCGACGATATTACTTGACGTCTATGCTACGGGGGGCGATTATAAAATTGAATAGATTGATATCTGCAAAGGTTACAAAACAGTACAATTTTCGTAATTTTTGATTTGGGTTTTGACATTTATTTATGCTGTTTTTAATGAAACGATATTTTTATTTAGGTATTGATATATTTCAGAAAGAATTTAAGATTAAAAGATATAATATATTTACTTAATTTCAAGGTATCTGCAGGAAAAATCAAGGCTATAAGGTGTTATAAAATGGATTATGAATATTTAAATATTTTTTTTATGTTTATTTTTTCTTCTAATCATTATTAGTTATTATTATTAAGAATGGTGTTTTTTTTATATCAAGTTTAGCTGCAAATATATAACGTTAATTATGTTTTATGTGGTGTTATCATTTCCAATGTCTCTGATGGTTGCAGCGATTGCGAAATCTGTGAGTTTTTTTTTAATCATAAATTTTCCTGCGAAAAAATGATGACAAAACAGTTTCTGTCGAATTTTGGTACAAAAACATTTTAAATTTATTATTTCAGTCTAATAACTATTTAGTAATCAGAATTAGGCTTATAAAACAATGACGATACTTTCTGTACACTTCTGCAAAAAAGCCTGTGTTCAGTCGTTTTACAAAATGCCAAATCGGGACCATTAAAACCTTAATATTAATATCTCGTTTAATTATTATACTCTGTAATTTGATTCTGTGTACAGGGCTGCCTCTTTGTGGACATTTGCTTTTTTTTGGAACTTTTATTCTTTTAGAATAAAATGAATGTAGATGTTTATAATTACTCACTGTACATACTCCATTTAACAGAATTATCACTTTTTGTACCATTAAAGAGAAGTTCAAGAAATGTCGTTGAATAAATTTAGGTTAGTTCTGCTAATCCCGCGTAATAGGTTTTGTGCAATCTGACTAGTCTTCATTAGGCTTTTGCAAAGCGACTGAAACCAGATAGGCTCTTTCACCTGTTGTGCCACTGTCCAGCACTAGAATGTCGATGTTTTAAAACTTTAGGGCAATGTTTTTTGGAGGGGCTAGAGGAAGCAGCAGAAGTCAACATCAGCGACATCGGGAATTTTTGTAAAGAGCTGGAAGTGCTTTAACGCAAAGAAAGAATGAGAGGAAGGTTTGGTAGAACAATACAGGGCTATCGCAATGGGCCCAAGGCCTCCGAGTGAGGGATCAAACATGATCCAAAACCCCAGCAACCTAACCTAACCTAGATAGGCTCTTTGCAAAATATCCTTCTATTGTTAAAAACGCCTGCGTATTATAATATTCCTAGTCTTTTTGCAAAATGCCGAGTTATTCGATATGCCTGCGACATATATATATTTGCTAAAAAAGTGTCGACAAATTCACCAGAGACGTGCATATGGGTATCACTGGAATATTTTTCTAAAAAAATATGTGCGCCACTGACATTTTTTCTCTTGTTCTTGTTAGCAAAATTGTGTAAACATAAGCTGTTCAATGCCAATTAAAAGTTGGGTGTTCCGTTTATATATAAACTAAGTAATAAAAATATAACTAATAAAACTACAATACCTTCTTGATCACTAGTTTTATATACATTTTTACAATAACATTACATAATAAATACCCATGTTACATTATAAAAACTGACTCATTGGATCCTCCTCTCGTTTTCTTTTTAGGTAATATGCTTCAATTTCTTCTTCCGTAGGTTTCTTTGCTTCAAACATACTGTTGTAAGGTCGCTTTCTTTCATCCAACGACAACAAATAATCGGCTTGCTTTTGATACTGTTCTTCAGCTTTTAAAGCCTCTGATAATTTGTCTTTTTCGGCTTTTTTCTCTTTGTGCTTATTTTTCTTCTTTTTTTCAGACTTTGTTCTGATATCATCTTCACTGGAATCATCTGATTTTTTATCACAAGTCAATTCACTTTCTTGTGTAGTTTCCGATGTGTTATTAATATCTTCACTTTGGTAAATATTAACATCAGAACTATTGTTTAATTCTGTGTCATTGTTAGTACTTTTTCCAGATTCACCCAAACAATATGAATTCTAAAAAAATACACAAGTCTTATGATACCATAGGATTGAATAAAAAGCATCGTCACAGTAGCTTTTGAAATGACGATTGAAAGTTTGGAGAGAATAACGGAACGATTGTTAAACAAATATTAAACTTTATTATAAAAAACATATTTTGAGATACACAAAGCAATTTTAATTGGAAATTTCATAATACTCTTTCTATTTGAATACTTTACTTTTATTAAAGCAAGAGTGTGACAAGTTTTAATGTCAATTTTTAACTAATGGCGTTAGGTATGGCTGTATCATCACCATAAATAATAGTGTTATAAATAAAGATATTACTTAATAAATGACACAGAGGGGCCAACCCAACCGAAATTATCAACTGTCCTTTCAAAAGCCACTGTGACAACTTTTTTTTACCATACAGTATTTTATATTTAAAAATAAATTGAAAACAATCTTATTTACAGAAGAGATTTCCTTACATAAAGAGGCACTATTGAAATAATATAGCCAATATTTTTTTTTTGGATTATACTAGTGATGCAAGGAATATACAGGGTGGTACATCGGCGTTGGAAATAAAGGAAATGCAAATTTTTAACTGTTATATTGGCTTCCTTGTCGATTTTACAGCTAAGTTGTAAATAGTGTTTTTAAAGGAGTGCGCACGTTGAATACACATACCAAATTTGAACAAGCCGTTATTAACTAATTTAAGAAAATCTGCATCTATTTTTAAATTAAAACTGAATAGGCGACAATACAAAACCAGGCAAATGTCAATATCTATCAATTAAGTTGTCTGTCAAATGAGTTTAATGTTAAATGCATTTTGTTGTGCTGTGTTCGTTCTACAATATTATGTTATAGTAGATACGGTTAGTCTGCCCAATAGCATTTTTCTAATTTGTTTGAAATAGGCAAAAGCCTAAACCTTCATAATGAAATATTATTTGACATTTGATAAAATTACAGGATGACAATTTAAGGTAAGTTGGCATTTGCGTGGTTCTGCATTGTTACCTGTTTAGTTTTAATTTAAAAACGGATGCAGTTTTTCTTAAATTACTCAAAATCGGCTTATCCAAAATTCTTCAAATGTGGCATGTGTGTATTCAGCGTATGCAGACCTTTAAAAAGATATTTGCGATTTGGCTGTAAAATAAACAGGGCAGTCAATATTTAGAGTTTAAAATTTGCATGGGATTGCCTATGTTTCAACGATGATGCACCACGCGGTATAAATATTAGCAAATGCGAATTCAAATATTAATGTTGTTAAAAAATATAAAAAATGTTATCTTGAAATAATGATTTTGGCACTTAGAACATTATTTACTTCAAGTCTTCATATATTGATATTATTGCAGGATTGTTAACTTAAGTTATAAGAAATTCATACTACTTTCTTTAAATTAGCGAATATTATTGACATTTATATATTTTTTAAAACTTTGACATTCGTATAAAGTTTGCAAATGTTAATATCAAAAAATATGCAAATATTTGTTATATTATTAGATTATACAAAATGTAGTTAATAATATTTTATTATGCCTACCTTGATAAAAGAATGACAGCATTTATAACTCCACTGACCACTTTTCCAGTATGAACCCCAAACACTTGTATGATTGTTAATATAAATATCTTCCTCATATTTGGAACGTATCTCCTCTTTTTCTTGTCCCTTCATAATTTTTCCTGATCTTGAATATTCAACATAATCTTCTGTTTGGGCAAGCAATAAAGTTTTTGGCGGAGCTTCCAAATGTTCTTCTCCTCCATATTTTTCTAAAATATTAGACTGAACTTTGGTTTTGAACTGTTCCTTCTTTTTGTCATATTCCTTTTGTAGCAGTTCCAATTTTGTAGGCTCGGCCAAGAGATGAACGTCCACACCCTTCTCGTAGGCTTCCCAAGCAAAAAGTTGAGCTGTTGCATGTGATTTTGTAGCACCACTAAATCTTACAAAGTTTTCTCCTTTGTATCTAAAATATAATACAATTTAATACAGATAGTTTACAAATTATGTATTAAAACTGAGCTAACTTGGAACCTATCAAATGAACAGTCAAAAGTCAAGAGGACGTAATTGTTAAACTGCCAATGTCATTTGAAATACAACAAATACATCTCTATCGAGCCTATAAAAATTATATAAATGTACTTACGTATCATCTTTTCCTGGATTTGGATTTTCCCTCATAGATCTAGTTTTCGGATCATAATATGCAGAATTCGGATCTAAATTTCTTAAATATTTTGCTGTATCTTCACGAATACGTAAATTCCTTACAGTAATTCTTTGTTTGCTATCTACTTTTGTACCAGGCATATCTACTTCATCAACATATTTGTCTTCATCTTCATCATTATCAGAATTTTGTGCATCTAATTTTTCAGCTTTCAGTTGCCTCTTTGCGTCCTCTACTTTCTGGAATTCCTCTATCACTGATATGTGCTCTAGTGGATTGTAACCACTCCATCTGTCTCTTTTACCGTCGAAACTCAATGATAAATTCTTCTGTACAAACTCATCAGGTAAAATATCTGTGTTAGAGTACTTGGCTCCGACTTTCCTCGGTCGATCCATGCAATCCTTCTTTTTGTGGGTCATAGCGCCACAATTTTCGCAAGCTCCTTTTCTGTATTTGGTAACGATTTTAGTCTAATACAAAAAATTTAAAATATTAATATTATAATGATTTATGTAATTTTATACTTACTCTGTTAAGTCCTCTTTTATACCATTCGTCTATAGCAGAGTACTCTTGTTGTTTATCATCTTGAGGCCTTTGATGTCTTAAGGTGGGGCCACTGGTCCCATAATACCATGGCGCATTCGAAATATATTGAGGTATATGAGGATTAATATCCTTTCCTTCTTCATCAACAGCTGCTGGTGCAGTACCAGCTTTTCGTGCTTCTTCTAGTTCTTTAGCTTTCCTCCAATCTTCCCTTGATTTCTTTTTAGGTTCATCGTCAAATTCCGCCTTTCTTTTCAATATCTGGGATACTGTTAAACCCTGAGTATGGTATGCCATCGTTGTAAAGTTCGTTTAAATTCAAAACACTAAATACACTTATACTATAGACTGTCTATACTAAAAATATACAATAGACTCTCTATACCACGTCTATACCACAGGGCATCCACAGGGGAACTGTTGACTGTTGATATTTTATACGAACGCCCTCATATAATGCTACGTTACCAAGGTTGCCAACTCTGGAAGGTAAATACCCGCTAGATTTGTATATTAAAAACCGCTAGAATCCGCTAGGGGTGATATTGAACCTGAAATTATTCTTTTTGTCTAATTTTGAACCTTTTATTAGGGCTTTCATTACCAAATAAGGCGAATTTAACATGACTTCTAATATTCTTGTCCTAGGTACTATATGAATATACGATTATAATGCGACATATTGAGGCAAATTTTGAAAAAAAAATTGTTTCTTAGAATTGAGATATGTAATAATGTTGTGTCAATTTTATTTAAATTTTAATCAGAAATGTATACCGCTAAAAAACCGCTAGCCGCTAAATCGAGCGCTAAATAATATCTTTCCCGCTAAACTGAAAAATAAACCGCTAGATATAGCGGGAAAACCGTTAAGTTGGCAACAGTTTACGTTGCCAAGTCTATCACCACAGTTGTTTATTTTGATTTTTGTATACGTAGACTTAGGGAAAATCTTAAGAAAATAATAATATAATTAGCTTATTACTTTTGAAAATTTTGATATATAGCTTTATTTAGTACTTTCAACATTACAAGAAAAACATACTTGAAATATTTATAAATTTCGTCATTTTTAAATCAGCCTTTGGGAGAAACTTTGAATCTGGCAACGACGCTCTGTTGTAGTATTTTACTATATGCTCCATAGTGTGGGCGTCAGTCGGTCTGAAGTTAATTATTTTATGGCCTGAAGGTGACCGCTCTGAATCCAAATAAAGCCTTATCTAATGGGTTTATTTCTTTTTTTTTTAATTTATTATTTCATTACTGTTTTCTAAGGGACATTCGTGTTTTTTCTGAGTATATAAACATTTACTACTTCTTTTTGGAGTATACCATTCTTCGGACAAGATATATATATATATATATATATATATATATATATATATATATATATATATATATATATATATATATATATATATATATATATATATATATATATATATATATGCTATATATATATATATATATATTTTGAAAAATGGTTCTTGGGGTTATGGTCCGTATATAAATTTGTTTATTTTTTTATTTTGTAGTGAAACATATTATCAAAGTTTACGTTTCGATCTATATTAGATCTTTATCAAAACATGTTCTACCAAGTAAAATACATCACTAGTAAACATGAAAAAATAGAAAGATTTAAAACTTACATTATAAACTTGGACGTCATAAAAACAACTTATATATTTACATTTTAACACAGCACCTACTAATACATCTATTCAATATTAAACAAACACATAGACTGACACACCAATATATTTCTTTGGTTGCTCGACTGGCATGATACAAAGAATACAAGGTATGATATTGCGCAGGTTGGTTACTACGTCACAGGTGATAAACGGCACCATTGGTCGGCAAGCTCCGCGCGCCAATTTCAAATTGTCAAACAGATGACACAATAAACGCGAAAATAATTTTTCAAATGTCAAGCTCGATAATTTGACATAACTTTTGGGGTTATGTCCTGATTCTTCCCTATTTTAGGTCTTTTTTTTATTAGTGGCATTTGAACAATATGGATATTTTTCTGTATGGCGTATGACGTCACAGGTGGTATGCGCAAACTTAACGAAATTGGAGCCGCTATCGATCATACCTTGTTTTCTTTGTACCATGCTCGACTGGTGCATTTTTTTTTCTTTTTTTTCTCCTTGTGAACCTCTATTGATATGGATATGAAACAATCGATAGTTCTTTTGTTGTAAAAAATGTATTAATATTTTGGTTCACATAAATTAATTAATCAAATTATAGTATATTTTACTCAAATTTTGCGTATCGGATTTTGCGTTTATGGTATTGTTATTTTTTTGTATATATATCATTTCTAAAAATTCTCTTTTTCTTGTATGATTTTCAGTTGCCAAAATTTTTGTGTCGTTAAAGTTAAAAGTGTGTTGACATTCAATTTCATGGTTTGTTAACGCCGTTTTATTTTTCTTATCATACTTGTGACCATTGATCCTATTTTTTAGATACTGACCAGTTTGCCCTATGTAAATTTTATCACAGTCCTTACAAGGTATCTGATATACTATATTGCTTCTTTTGTCTTTTGGTATGATTGATTTTAGCTTGGTGAAGGTATTTTTTAACAAGTTGTGGCTTTTATAACATACAGTAATACTTTCCTTTTTAAAAATGTTATTTAATTTTTCCGACAGCCCTGGTAGATATGGGAGAGATAAATATTTTTTTGGATTTTTCCGTCCTTATTTTGTGTATTAGTGGTGTTGTGAAATTTATGTATTCGTTTTTTGAAGATACTATTAATTAATTTAAGTGGATAATAATTGTTTTTAGGAGTGCCTCTTTACCCTTCTGTATACTTGCAGGTCTGTAATCGGTATCTGTTAAATGAATTATTCGGTCAGCAAGGCCTATTATAACGGATTTTTTATTTTAATTTTTTATTTCATTACTGTTTTCTAAGGGACATTCGTGTTTTTTCTGAGTATATAAACATTTACTACTTCTTTTTGGAGTATACCATTCTTCGGACAAGATATATATATATATATATATATATATATATATATATATATATATATATATATATATATATATATATATATATATATATATATATATTGATATATATATGGTTCTTGAAAAAATGGTTCTTGAGGTTATGGTCCGTATATAAATTTGTTTATTTTTTTATTTTGTAGTGAAACATATTATCAAAGTTTACGTTTCGATCTATATTAGATCTTTATCAAAACATGTTCTACCAAGTAAAATACATCACTAGTAAACATGAAAAAATAGAAAGATTTAAAACTTACATTATAAACTTGGACGTCATAAAAACAACTTATATATTTACATTTTAACACAGCACCTACTAATACATCTATTCAATATTAAACAAACACATAGACTGACACACCAATATATTTCTTTGGTTGCTCGACTGGTGCATTTTTTTTTCTTTTTTTTCTCCTTGTGAACCTCTATTGATATGGATATGAAACAATCGATAGTTCTTTTGTTGTAAAAAATGTATTAATATTTTGGTTCACATAAATTAATTAATCAAATTATAGTATATTTTACTCAAATTTTGCGTATCGGATTTTGCGTTTATGGTATTGTTATTTTTTTGTATATATATCATTTCTAAAAATTCTCTTTTTCTTGTATGATTTTCAGTTGCCAAAATTTTTGTGTCGTTAAAGTTAAAAGTGTGTTGACATTCAATTTCATGGTTTGTTAACGCCGTTTTATTTTTCTTATCATACTTGTGACCATTGATCCTATTTTTTAGATACTGACCAGTTTGCCCTATGTAAATTTTATCACAGTCCTTACAAGGTATCTGATATACTATATTGCTTCTTTTGTCTTTTGGTATGATTGATTTTAGCTTGGTGAAGGTATTTTTTAACAAGTTGTGGCTTTTATAACATACAGTAATACTTTCCTTTTTAAAAATGTTATTTAATTTTTCCGACAGCCCTGGTAGATATGGGAGAGATAAATATTTTTTTGGATTTTTCCGTCCTTATTTTGTGTATTAGTCGTGTTGTGAAATTTATGTATTCGTTTTTTGAAGATACTATTAATTAATTTAAGTGGATAATAATTGTTTTTAGGAGTGCCTCTTTACCCTTCCGTATACTTGCAGGTCTGTAATCGGTATCTGTTAAATGAATTATTCGGTCAGCAAGGCCTATTATAACGGATTTTTTATGACTAATTGGGTGTTGTGAGTTAAAGTGTAATAATAATAGACCAATAATAAAAAAATAAACAAATTTATATACGGACCATAACCCCAAGAACCAATTTTCAAAAAAAAAACATTTACTATTTATAATATCATAAAATGGTGATAACCTTTACAAATCAGCTTAAATTGGTTGTTTATTGTTTCGACAGAACGGGAAGTAATGACTTCTTTAAGATATTTTAGCTGTTTTTGATGTTTTTTTATTGTTTATTTTTTTTTGGTTTGTTGAAGTTTGAAGTCAATCCTAGTTAATCGAATCCTTAAAAAATAGGCTATATTTGTTGCCAAAAAGTTTCAAAGGTTAATCTAAAACGTTCGCAAAGGACAGTTGGAAATATATAGAAAAAAATTCCTTCAGTAAAAAAATTATTATAAATACAAGAACTGTCCTGAAACCAAAACTATACTAGGTATTTACTTTAGATGGTCTATACTTACTTTGGTATAAATATCGTAATCTTAAATCATACAGGATGTTCAAAATTCTACGTCAAACTTTCTAAAATATAAAATCATTTTTCTTTGTTTTTTGAAACGGAACACCCTGTATATTATTTTTTATTAGATGTAGAATTAAAAAATGAACATTTTTTGTATTTAAAGTATATCAAGATTTTTAATGGTTTTGCAGATACACATAGTATTATTTCATATGGCGCTCTCAACGTTAAAATATGAGAGAAAAATTATTGGGTGGCTTTGATAAAAATTTACTGTGGAAAATGCCATATGAAATATAAAATCGCGAATATCGGCGAAAGTGTGAAATTTTTGAAATACTCTAAATACAAAAAATGTTTATTTTTTAATTCTCCATCTATTGAAAAAATAATATACAGGGTGTTCCATTTGAAAAAACGAAGAAAAATTATTTTATATTTTAGAAAGTTTGGCGTAGAATTTTTAGCATCCTGTATGATTTACGATTACCATATTTATAGCAAAATAAATACCTAATATAGTTTTGATTTCAGGACACTTCTTGTATTTTTATTTGTTTTAAGAAAGGCCGAAAAATATATATTTTTTATTTATTTATTAATATCTCTGAAACAATCGAAATATATATACTCATATCTTAGGATTATGTAAAGTGATCTGAAAGGAAGCCAAAAATGCAATAATATACAGGGCGTTCAATTTAGAAAAAAATCATCCCGATCCACTCACACTTTTTCGAGCCACCCAATAGAAGTTAGTTAATTCATACTTTAGTTCTGCACTTAAACGAAATTTACAAGTTTTTTTTATTCTAGGAGCTACAGATGGCCGACGCACTATTGCCGGACCCTGTATATCAGTATAAACAACTTTTCATTGTAATTATACCGTCTGATAGAAAAAAAGCAGCTGTTTCTTGTTCTTTTTGCTGCTTTTTGAAGTTTAGGGAATACCGTGAAATGTCATAAACAAAGGTCAGCGAAAACTTACGCTGCTGTGTTTACCCATATACATATAACTATATATACTCAGTGTTCCCTATTTAACCCATATACATATAACTATATATACTCAGTGTTCCCTATTTAACCCCGTGTGCTGTTTCCGTGCCGTAAGAAAAAGACAACATAACTCAGCTCCATATTAATGCTGCATAAGTCTATTTCACCCGGATATCGATTGAACTGCGATTGCGCCAAACTCCGATTGATTGTTGTTTTAGTTCTGTTTGGATTACTTTTTATTTGTGCGCGTAAAAGAGTGATTTTGTTTAGTTTATTGTTTTCAACTATTTTTTGATATTTTTCCGACTCCATGATAATGTGTTATAAATAATAAAAATATAAATAAAATTGAAGGTTAGGTGAAATGTCAGTCAACCACTTCCCTCTAAAAACATCGACCAATGAAAACTTCTTCAGGTAAGGCATGCGCAGTTAAATGAATATCCGGGTGAAATAGACTTATGCAGAATTCCATATTTCTCTTTCACTGTTTGGGCTTCACTTTTTGGAGATTAGGCTGAGTATATTTGTAAAAAGTACTACGTATATGACTTAACCCCGTGTGCTGTTTCCGTGCCGTAAGAAAAAGACAACATAACTCAGCTCCATATTAATGCTGCATAAGTCTATTTCACCCGGATATCGATTGAACTGCGATTGCGCCAAACTCCGATTGATTGTTGTTTTAGTTCTGTTTGGATTACTTTTTATTTGTGCGCGTAAAAGAGTGATTTTGTTTAGTTTATTGTTTCCAACTATTTTTGATATTTTTCCAACTCCATGATAATGTGTTATAAATAATAAAAATATAAATAAAATTAAAGTTAGGTGAAATGTCAGTCAACCACTTCCCTTTAAAAATACGGACCAGTGAAAACTTCTTCAGGTAAGGCATGCGCAATTAAGTGACTATCCGGGTGAAATAGACTTATACAGAATTCCATATTTCTCTTTCACTGTTTGGGCTTCACTTTTTAGAGATTAGGCTGAGTATATAAAGTTATATGTATATGTGTTCACCGAACGCGTCCATTTATTTTTATATCAATATAAAAGTCAACATAGGTCCGATTCTGCTTTGTCTCCTAGCTAGAGGAGGTCTTCTTTATTTTTCGACTTATTATAATTTTTTTCTAAGTGCCACATATTTGTTAAAAAGTGTCGACAAATTATTATCAGTGGAATTTAAAAAAAAAAATTAGCGTCTTGCCGGAGTAATAAAAATATAACTAATAAAACTACAATACTTTCTTGATCACTAGTTTAATACATTTTTAAAATAACATTGCAGAATAAATACCTATGTTACATTATAAAAACTGACTCATTGGATCCTCCTCTCGTTTCCTTTTTAGGTAATATGCTTCAATTTCTTCTTCCGTTGGTTTCTTTGCTTCAAACATACTGTTGTAAGGTCGCTTTCTTTCATCCAAAGACAACAAATAATCGGCTTGCTTTTGATGCTGTTCTTCCGCTTTTAAAGCCTCTGATAATTTGTCTTTTTCGGCTTTTTTCTCTTTGTGCTTATTTTTCTTCTTTTTTTCAGACTTTGTTCTGATATCATTTTCACTGGAATCATCTGATTTTTTATCACAAGTCAATTCACTTTCTTGTGTAGTTTCCGATATATTATTAATATCTTCACTTTGGTTAATATTAACATCAGAACTATTGTTTAATTCTGTGTCATTGTTGCTACTTTTTCCAGATTCACCCAAACAATATGAATTCTAAAAAAATACACAAGTCTTATGATACCATAGGATTGAATAAAAAACAGTGTCACAGTAGCTTTTGAAATGACGATTGAAAGTTATGAGAGATTAACGGAACGATTAATAAAAAAAATATTTTAATATAAAAAACATATATAATGAGATACCCTAAGGAATTTTAGTTGCAAATTTCATAATACTCTTTCTATTTGAATACTTTACTTTTATTAAAGCAAGAGTGTGACCAGTTTTAATGACAATTTTTAAGTAATGGCGTTAGGTATGGCTGTATCATCACCACAAATAATAGTGTTATAAATAAAGGTATTACTTAATAAATGACACAGAGGGGACAACCCAACCGAAATTATCAACTGTCCTTTCAAAAGCCACTGAGACAACTTTTTTTTACCATACAGTATTTTATATTTAAAAATAAATTGAAAACAATCTTATTTACAGAAGGGATTTCCTTATATAAAGAGGCACTATTGAAATAATATAGCCAATAATTTTTTTTGGATTATACTAGTGATGCAAGGAATATACCGGGTGGTACATCGGCATTGGAAATAAAGGAAATGCAAATAGTTATATTGGCTTCCCTGTTGATTTTACAGCTAAGTTGTAAATAGTGTTTTTAAAGGAGTGCGCACGCGTTGAATACACATACCAAATTTGAACAACCCGTTTTTAACTAATTTAAGAAAATCTGCATCTATTTTTAAATTAAAACTGAATAGGCGACAATACAAAATCAGGCAACTGTCAATATCTCTTAAGTTGTCTGTCAAATGAGTTTAATGTTACATGCATTTTGTTGTGCTGTGTTCGTTCTACAATATTAAGTTATAGTAGATACGGTTAGTCGGCCCAATAGCATTTTTCTAATTTGTTTGAAATAGGCAAAAGCATTTTCATAATGAAATATCATTTGACATTTGATAAAATTACAGGATGACAATTTAAGGTAAGTTGGCATTTGCGTGGTTCTGCATTGTTACCTGTTCAGTTTTAATTTAAAAATAGATACAGTTTAACTTAAATTACTTAAAATCGGCTTGTCCAAAATTGTTCAAATGTGGCATGTGTGTATTCAGCGTACGCAGACCTTTAAAAAAGATATTTGCGATTTGGCTGTAAAATAAACAGGGGTGCCAATATTTAGAGTTTAAAATTTGCATGGGATTGCCTATGTTTCAACGATGATGCACCACGCGGTATAAATATTAGCAAATGCGAATTCAAATATTAATGTTGTTAAAAAATATAAAAAATGTTATCTTGAAATAATGATTTTGGCACTTAGAACATTATTTACAAGTCTTCATATATTGATATTATTGCAGGATTGTTAACTTTACTTCTTTCTTTAAACTAACGAATATTATTGACATTTATATATTTTTTAAAACTTTGACATTCATATAAAGTTTGCAAATGTTAATATCAAAAAATATGTAAATATTTGTTACATTATTAGATTATACAAAATGTAGTTAATAATAGTTTATTATGCCTACCTTGATAAAAGAATGACAGCATTTATAACTCCACTGACCACTTTTCCAGTATGAACCCCAAACACTTGTATGATTGTTAATATAAATATCTTCCTCATATTTGGAACGTATCTCCTCTTTTTCTTGGCCCTTCATAATTTTTCCTGATCTTGAATATTCAACATAACCTTCTGTTTGGGCAAGCAATAAAGTTTTTGGCGGAGCTTCCAAATGTTCTTCTCCTCCATATTTTTCTAAAATATTTGACTGAACTTTGGTTTTGAACTGTTCCTTCTTTTTCTCATATTCCTTTTGTAGCAGTTCCAATTTTGTAGGTTCGGCCAAGAGATGAACGTCCACACCTTTCTCGTAGGCTTCCCAAGCAAAAAGTTGAGCTGTTGCATGTGATTTTGTAGCACCACTAAATCTTACAAAGTTTTCTCCTTTGTATCTAAAATATAATACAATTAAATACAGATAGTTTATAAATTATGTATTAAGACTGAGCTAACTTTGAACCTATCAAATGAACAGTCAAAAGTCAAGAGAACGTAATTGTTAAACTATAAAAATTATATAAATATACTTACGTATCATCTTTTCCTGGATTTGGATTTTCCCTCATAGATCTAGTTTTCGGATCATAATATGCAGAATTCGGATCTAAATTTCTTAAATATTTTGCGGTATCTTCACGAATACGTAAATTCCTTACAGTAATTCTTTGTTTGCTATCTACTTTTGTACCAGGCATATCTACTTCATCAACATATTTGTCTTCATCTTCATAATTATCAGAATTTTGTGCATCTAATTTTTCAGCTTTCAGTTGCCTCTTTGCGTCCTCTACTTTCTGGAATTCCTCTATCACTGATATGTGCTCTAGTGGATTGTAACCACTCCATCTGTCTCTTTTACCGTCGAAACTCAATGATAAATTCTTCTGTACAAATTCATCAGGTAAAATATCTGTGTTAGAGTACTTGGCACCGACTTTCCTCGGTCGATCCATGCAATCCTTCTTTTTGTGGGTCATAGCGCCACAATTTTCACAAGCTCCTTTTCTGTATTTGGTAACGATTTTAGTCTAATACAAAAAAATTAAAATATTAATATTATAATAAGATTTATGTAATTTTATACTTACTGTGTTAAGTCCTCTTCTATACCATTCGTCTATAGCAGAGTACTCTTGTTGTTTATCATATTGAGGCCTTTGATGTCTTAAGGTGGGGCCACTGGTCGCGTAATACCATGGCGCATTCGAAATATATTGGGGTATATGAGGATTAATATCCTTTCCTTCTTCATCAACAGCTGCCGGAGCAGTTCCTGCTTTTCGTGCTTCTTCTAGTTCTTTAGCTTTCCTCCTATCTTCCCTTGATTTCTTTCTGGGTTCATCGTCAAATTCAGCCTTTCTTTTCAATATTTGGGATACTGTTAAACACTGAGTAGGGTTTGCCATCTTTGTAAAGTTCGTTTAACTTTAAGACACTAAATACACTTATACTATAGACTGTCTATACTAAAAATATACAATAGACTGCCTAACCACGTCTATACCACAAGGCATCCACAGGGGAACTGACGATATTTGAATACCCTCTTATAATGCTACGTTGCCAGGGTTGCCAACTTTGGAAGATAGATACCCGCCAGATTCGTATATTAAATACCTCTAGGGGCGATACTGAACTCGAAATTATGCTTTTTGTCTATTTTTGAACCTTTTATTAGGACTTTCATTATCAGATAAGACGAATTTAAAGTTAATTAAAAATAAACCGCTAGATTTAGCGGGAAAACCGCTAAGTTGGCAACAGTTTACGTTGCCAAGTCTATCACCACAGTTGTTAATTTGAATTTTGTATCAGTATACTTAGGGGAAATCTTAACAAAGTAATAATATAATTAGCTTATAACTTTTGAAAATGTTTATATATAGTTTTATTTAGTACTTTCAAGATTACAAGAGAAATAAACTTGAAATATTTATAAATTTCGTCATTTTTAAATCAGCCTTTGGGATAAATTTTTAATATGGCAACGCCGCACAGTGGCTCTTGCATATGTTAAAGAGCGGCCATAAGTGATTTTGGTAAAAATTAAACTATATGGCACACTGTTAAACTTTTAGAATAGTAGTAGCATTGGTTTACAAATAACAACAAATTTTTTGAATAAAATTTGTAACCATGTTTTTTTTCTCTTAAACCGATCATATTTAATTTGTCTTTTTCGCTTAGTGATAGCAAATAAGAATCTAAATATTCCTGGAGGCTTTAAAAAACCCGAGATGATTATTATTTTTTATATTTTAAAGAAAAGATGTTTTCTCTACTTTTCGACTATTAGAAAGTTCTGAAATTATTATTATGTATTAATTTTTCATGTTTTTTTAAACGTCGTTTTTATCCATATTTTTATAGTTTTCAAAATACCAAAAAAATACTATCGATGCTTATCGACGTTTCCTCTTATCGCAAATAATATTGTTTGAGGAATGTATTTGTTTATAAACAAAAAATGGTCTGTCAAATTCTGCCTATTCATGAGATATATTTATTTGAAGTAGTCCGTGTTTCTCAATAGACCGCAACACAATTTTAAGTTACGTTTTTTTCAGAAAAGACAATAGTCGAAAATGTTCACGGTATGCCACAAATCAAGATGTTTTTAATTGTCTCCTGATATCCTCTGACCCTTATTTGGCTGCATTTCGGCATATGTGGAAGAAAAGTGAATGTTTAGAGCTGGATGATGAAGCCAAAGAACTCCTTTTATAGAACATATTACTGAGTTGGTTAGAATATCGTCCTATTGCTGCCAAAAGTCACTAACTAACATTTTTCCGAACAACCAAATTCAATCACTAACTACGATTTCTGGCTATTTATGTTTTATTTTAATACCGAATAGTTACTAACTATAACATATTTATGCAATGCAATTCATCTTTAGACGCATTTTTCTCGGAAGTAATAAAAAGAAAGTTAGTGACTTTTGGCAGCAATGGGACGATATGTTTTCTTACATAAATATTATTTTCTACTTTTACGTTCAGAGTTGTAATGGTGGTTTAGTTTTTTTTGTTTTGTGAAATATATATTTTTTTAATTTTATAGGTACTTCAGGTTTATTTTAGTATTGTTTAAAGTTTCTTTTAAGTATAGAAATCACTTGATTTACAAAATAAAACTTTTTTACAAACATAATTAAATTATAAACACTTCTTGCACGCATATAATATATTTTTTGGATCCCATTGTTAAATTAGTATTTTGTTATTTTATTTTTTCACGGGGGAACTTGAATTTTTTTATTAAGAAAGGTCTAAACAAACAGCTAGTGATACAAGAAGTGATTTTTAAAGACTTTATAAACTTATTACTTTCACCTGTCACATGCTCACGCAATCCAAAGATTTCCCAAAACCCATCCCCCACGCTCACCCTTTAAAGGAGGGCGCGTGGGGCTGTTAATGTAAGAAAAACATTTTTTGCAGTTCACCAGAAATCATTACTAAGCGAAAACGGTAAATCTACAGGTACCTTTACCGATATTATTAAGTGACACGCTTTACAAAAAAATAATTTTTGCAGTCATAATTAGACCAGCGTTTTGCTAAAATTCAATTAAAATTATAGAAAAATCTATAGATATTTTTCTTTTCGCCATAAATAAAGCAGCTGGGCTACAAATTACTTATTAAAGTATTTTTTTTTCTATTTATGACCGCTATATCCCTATACCTCGATCCACTGTGCACCGCTCTGTTGTTGTAATATATTACAATACGCTCCATAACTACGACGTCAGTCGCTCTAAACTTAATTATTTTATGGTCTGCAGGTCACCGCTCTGAATCCAAACAAAGCCTTTTTTATTCTTGTTTTTTCTGAGTAAGTATATAAAAATTTACTACTTATAATATCATAAAATGGTGATAACCTTTACAAATCAGCTTAAATTGGTTGTTTATGTGCAATTGTTGTTATTGCTTTGACAGAATGGGAAGTAATAACTTCTTTAAGATAAATTAGCTGTTTTTGATGTATTTTTTATGGTTTGTTGAAGTTTCAAGTCAATCCTAATTTATTGAATCCTTAAAAAATAGGAGATATTTGTTGCCAAAAAAGTTACAAAGCAGTAGGTTAATCTAAAACATTCGAAAAAGACAGTTGGAAATATATAGAGATCAGAAAAGTCGAAGAAATATAGAAAATTCGACTCGAGATGGAAAAACATAATGAAATTAAAGAAAAAATACAACTTTTTGCATCATAAATAGCTTTTGATTGTAATTATACCGTCCGATCGAAAAAAATGCGCCCAGTTGGCATAAAAAAGACGATCGATAACATTCCATATATAAGTTTATCCTCCACGTCACCTCTGACGTCGTTTTTTTTTCGACTGTATGGTACTTACACCTCAGTAATTTTATTTGTACCATACAATCGAAAAAAAAATGCGTGAAAGGTGACTTGATCGGTCATATCTAACTGCCAGTTTCTGTTATTTTGAGTTGTTTCGTTTAGGTGTAGAGCAAAAATTATTTATAACCTGTCATTTTTTTAGAAATTTAATTTTTATGTTTAATACTGTATTGTCAAATAATAAATTTTCCATTATAAAATGTTCAGCCATTGTAATAGTACTTTTTTCAAAATAATTTTTATTCTAAAGACTGATTTGACGATGAGGATTGATTTATTTTTCTCAAATTTTTATAGTAGACAGAATCTAAGGGGCGCATGAGACAGTTGCTGTTTCTTGCTCTTTTTGCTGTTTTTTGCCGTTTAGGGAATACCGTGATATGTCATAAACAAAGGAGGGCGAACATTTACGCTGAATGTCAGCTGCTGCGTTCCCTGAACGCGCCCATTTATCAGCATAAAAGTCAACATAGGTCCGATTCTGCTTTGTCTTCTAGCAAAAGGAGGTTATATTCATTTTTTTTTCGATTTATTATAATTTTCTTTTAAATGCCACATATTTGTTAAAAAGTGTCGACATATTTACCAGGCACGTGCATATGGGTTATTACTGGAATATTTTTCAAAAAAAAACTAGCGTCTAGCCGTCTAGCGCGGCGACGGAAACGGGTTTAAAAATAAATTAAATAATCTACATATATAAAATGCTAATGTTTGTCTGTGTCGTCTCCAGTGAAGTAACGACTTGCTCTAGAAAGTTGCTTTTTAACTAAAAGATACAGGCTTCAACTAGTAAAAATATAACTAATAAAACTAAAATACCTTCTTGACGTCCAGTTTTATACATTTTTCAAATAACATTGCATAATAAATACCTATGTTAGATTATAAAAACTGACTCATTGGATCCTCCTCTCGTTTCCTTTTTAGGTAATATGCTTCAATTTCTTCTTCCGTCGGTTTCTTTGCTTCAAACATACTGTTGTAAGGTCGCTTTCTTTCATCCAAAGACAACAAATAATCGGCTTGTTTTTGATGCTGTTCTTCAGCTTTTAAAGCCTCTGATAATTTGTCTTTTTCGGCTTTTTTCTCTTTGTGCTTTTTCTTTTTATGCTTATTTTTCTTTTTCTTTTTTTCAGACTTTGTTCTGATATCATCTTCACTGGAATCATCTGATTCTTTATCACAAGTCAATTCACTTTCTTGTGTAGTTTCTGATGTATTATTAATACATTCACTTTGGTTAATATTAGCATCAGAACTATTTTTTAATTCTGTGTCATTGTTAGTACTTTTTCCAGATTCACCCAAACAATATGAATTCTAAAAAAAATACACAAGTCTTATGATACCATAGGATTGAATAAAAAACAGTGCCACAGTAGCCTTTGAAATGACGATTGAAAGTTTTGAGGGATCAACGGAACGATTGATAATCAAATATTAAATAAACTTTATATATAAAAAAAATTATAAACTTTAATATAAAAAAAATATATACCGTATGATATATATTTTTTATATATAAAATATATAAAATATATATATATATATATATATATATATATATATATATATATATATATATATATATATATATATATATATATATATATATATATATATAAAAGGGCGTCCATTTGGCTTAGAAATGAACATCAATGACACTTCCCATATAATTTTACATATAAAATGACAGCGATCTTCATTTCATAGCCATCGCTGACGCCGTTTTTTTTTCGATCATTCGGTATTTTGAGATACACAAAGCCAAGTTTTAATGCAAATTTCAATCATACTCTTTCAATTTGAATACTTTTATTAAAGGAAAAGTGTGGCAAGTTTTAATGTCAATTTTTAACTAATGGCGTTAGGTATGGCTGTATCATCACCACAAATAATAGTGTTATAAATAAAGGTATTACTTAATAAATGACACAGAGGGGCCAACCCAACCGAAATTATCAACTGTCTTTTCAAAAGCCACAGTGACAACTTTTGACCATACAATATTTTATCTTCAAAAATAAATTGGAAATAATCTTATTTACAGAAGGGTTTAGATACAAGGTGATTATTAGCTAAATTAATATTAAAATCCATTTTCTTACATAAAAAGGCACTATTGAAATAATATAGCCAATAATTTTTTTTGGATTATACTAGTGATGCAAGGAATATACCGGATGGTACATCGGCGTTAGAAATAAAGGAAATGTAAATTTTTAACTGTTCAAATATTGGCTTCCCTGTTGATTTTACAGCTCAGTGGTAAATAGTGCTCTTAAAGGAGTACACATGTTGAATACACATACCAAATTTGAACAAGCCATTTTTAACTAATTTAAGAAAAACTGCATCTATTTTTAAATTAAAACTGAACAAGGTAACAATACAAAACCAGGTAATTGTCTACAGCCCTTAACTTGTCTGTCAAATGCGTTTAATGTTAAATGCATTTTGTTGTACTGTGTGCAGTCTACAATATCACGTTATAGTACATACGGTTAGGGTACGAACATAGTGGAGGCAGGTTTCTGCTTTCCGACAGCCAGCGCCGTCTCTGGGTACCTATTCTTGATCACTCGCATCTTCAAATATCGCTCACATCTCGCATCTCCGAAAAAGCCATATAACAATACACGTGATGAGTAACTTTGCGTATATGCATCACGTGTATTGTTATATGGCTTTTTCGGAGATGCGAGCAGGGTTCGGAAGTAGTTAATTAAGAGGAAATTTACCTGATTAACTAACCTAACCTAACCATATTCAAACGCCGCGCCCACCGCACATAGGGGTATTTGGTCTATAAACCTGGCCAAAAGTGATATTTTTTTATTTTCATTTTTTATCTTAACTGAATACAAACCTATAAATACTAAATGTAAGCACGTTTATTAGCTTTTTTTAAGTCGTAAGTTGACTATCAAATAAATAATATATTTCAATTATAAGTATGAATTATCTTGAGTGTATTCTGAATATTTCTAAGATTATAAAATAGTGGAATTGTTTGTAGTGCTTTTTTTGCAAATTGTTTATAATAACTCTCATGATGGATACAGAGCCAGCTGGCAAGTCCTGTTTTATGCCATATTTTTATTTTGAAACGTTTCCTTCTATTCTATTTCTTTATAATGTTTTATATTTAAAAAACCAGAGGCATTTTTATAAGGTGTAAGACTATTCGGCAATATTTCGCATGGAAATTAGTATCCGTTCAATGCTTAAAGTCTCCAGCTTTGGAATATGTACAAAAATCTTGCCAATATTTGCCACTGCCAAAAAAAAACATTGATTTAAATAGATTCTTAAAGGAAATAGTCTTTACCCTATAACACCCATCATCGCTCAAATATCGTCTATAATATACAAATTACTTTCTTGTTCTAGCATCCTCATCCAATTGCTTGGTTTTGCACAGAATGGCCCTATTTGATCGGTGGAAAGGATTTCAGAGTAGAGGAAAAAATATTGTGTAGGAAAAACAAAATGGGGTTCCATATTAGCACCCTCTCCTCTAATAATTAATATTACTAGCAAAAAAGCAAAAAAATCATAAAACTTAATTTTGGCCAACTTTTAGTTCTTAATACCCTCTGTGCGCCGTCGGCGCGTGCAAAGCAGAAATGCAAAGCGAGAACGCCGATGAACGCTGCTTGACGGCGCCTACCTGCTTTCACTGTGAACTAGCCGATTTGATAACACGCTTTAGTTTTTCAAGGTTATAAGCGCGAGGCGGCGCGGCGCTACTATGTACCCATATACAGGGTGTCCCAGAAATACGTGCAAGTATTTTAACTTAACTAGTATAGTTCAACCCCAGAAACACGCCTATGAGGTTTTTTTTCTAAATATTTTTTTTTTGAAAATTCGGAATTTTGTGAAAATTTTTTTGGATTTTTTTTTTTTGTTTTTATTTAAAAAAATAATTTCTTGATAATATGGCAACATAGGTAGTAGATTAAATTTACAAGAAAGAAAATCCAGAAAAGATCCAGTGGTTCTCAAACAAATCTCGAAGTATTGGAAAGAATGTGTAAGGACCAAGAACTATTGACTACAAAAAAACGACGGAAAGCAGCATATTTTGGTCATATTTTTCGAAATAACAAATATAGTTTAAGAAATTAGTTTCCTACAGCTGATCGTTGAGGGAAAGATTGAAGGACGACGAGGCATCGGGCGTAAACGGTTTTCCTGGTTGCGGAATTTGCGCCAGTGGTTTAATATAGGAGAGGCCAGTGCAATTATCCGTTTGGCTCAAGACAGGGAGGAATTCCAATTGATGGTCGCCAACCTCCGATGAGGAGAAGGCACATGAAGAAGAATTTTAGCAAAAAATATTTTTTTTTTGGAAATTTTCAAAGTAAAATAATTCCGTTATTTTGGACTTATTTCAAAAACGATAAAGAGAAAATATGTTTCTTTTATCGAGATCTACCACCCTTTAAAATAGGTCAAGAATAGGTACCCAGATCCTCGCCGACTACCGGTAAGCGGCAAACCTGCTTGCACTGTGTTCGCACACTTAAGTGCCCAATAGCATTTTTCTAATTTGTACGAAATAGGCAAAAGCCTAAACCTTTATAATGAAATATAATTTGATATTTGATAAAATAACAGGATGACAGCTTAAGTTAATGTTGGCATTTGCGTGGTTCTGCATTGTTACCTCTTTTCATTTTTCAGTTTTCATTTAAAAATAGATGCAGTTTTTCTTAAATTACTCAAAATCGGCTTGTCCAAAATTATTTAAATTTGGCAGTTTATTCAGCATACATATTATACCTTTAAAAACATATTTACGATTTGGCTGTAAAATAAACAGGGGATCCAATATTTAGATAGTTTAAAATTTGCATGGAATTTCCATGGAATTTCCTGTTTCCAACGACGATGCACCACCCGGTATAAATACTTGTAAATGCGAATTCAATTATTAATGTTGTTAAAAAATATTATATAAAAAATTTTGAATGTTACAATTAAAAATAAAAAAGAGCGTTTAAATGTTAATTGAATTCTCAAAAAATAAAATGTGAAATATTTTGTTTGTTATTAGAATTAAAATTTTTGATTACAGTCCAAAATAATTGACCATTATTTGATGTATGTTAAATATATTTCTTTTTTGTAAAAATAAGTTTAATAGAGGAATTTTTTTTTGCTTTGTTTATTAATATTCCTAGTTTCATAAACATGATGATTGTTTTCAGTTCAAAATAAAGGATATAGTAGAGACTCGATAATCCGGATATCACGCTAGTTCGCATTGACGGTAAGCTTAAATTATGTACATTGTAATTTGTAATTCGGATCGCATGATTTAATAATCTTAATTTTCGATAGTTACCTCTAATACATTGGTTTTATAACAAAAAAATTGGCGCCGGGAGGCACGTATAGCCGCCCATACTAAAATATGTTAATATCTCGAAAACTGCGACTTTGATTTTGATGCTATTACAAATTTTGTTGCAAATATTATTCCTAATCTTAATTTGAAAACCGCGTTTCGCTAGCTAGTGTAATTTTGGAGTTACAATTTTTTAAAATTTTTAACCCCCTCCCGTACCCCCTTACCAATCCCCCACCCCCACCAAAAACTAATGGCCAGATTCTCGGGTGCTACAGTATTTTTGTGCCAAATTTGGTTAAAATCGGTTTAGCGGTTTTTGAGTTATCGTGTTACAGACGGCAGACAGACAGACACAGACACCATGAAAATATTTTGTATTTAGGTCATTTATGACCCAAATAACTCATTTTGAGTGAAATTAAAAAAACTTTTTTTTGCCGATCTTAATAGCCTACCATACCTATTGGTATGGTCGGCTAACAATGTTGTTCATCTCGAAATAACGATTTTGTTACTTAGAGCATTATTTACTTCAAGTTTTCATATATTGATATTATTGCAAGATTGTTAATTTAAAAGTTAAAAGAAATTCATATTTGTTCCTTTAAATTTTAATATTATTTATATTAATATATTTTTTGAAACTTTGACATTGGTATTAAGTTTGCAAAAGTTAATATCAAAAAATATGCAAATACATTACTCAAAACAATATCGCATATTTGAATAAAAGTAATTATTACATATTTCTAAATGAAGCGTGCATTTTTCTGCCTTTCTCTTAGGAGTTTTTTAAAGATAATTAGGGTACACAATAATTAGGGTAGAGGGAAGACGATCACGTGGAAGGTCACCTAAGAGGTGGGTAGACCAAGTCAAAACCCTAGTGGGCCACAGCCTCCCCGAAGCTTCACATATGGCGCAGTGTCGAACAACTTGGTCCGAGGAAGTGAGGGGAATCAACACATGATATCACCATACTCTCAGGTAGAGTGAAGGACTGAAGAGAGAGAGGGTACACACTAACATGTAATTTTTTAGTTAGAAAAGTGAAATCAATACATTCTTATAGAGCCGATGGGCCCAATATTTGATTACATTGAGTAGCCTTGGCTATGCGCTGATACGCAATTTTTAATCGGCCGACTATTTAGTTGCATATTTGTAACCAATATAGGTATCCCTATGGAGCCGCGCTCAAATGCAATCAAATAGTCGGCCGATCGACTTCATAAGTATGTATTGTTTTCACTTTTGCAACTAAATAGTCGGCGTATAAATAAACAGCCCGTACGCTTATTGTATCGAATTTCCCTGCACAGTATCCATACTATTTAAAATCGTAAGTCAGGGAATTCAGTGTCTAATTTTTCAAATTAATATTTCTTTTAGAAAATATGAGATAATTGTTTTGAGTAGATTATTATTGAATTTAAATTTTTGTTACATCATTAGATTATAGTGATCTATTTTAGTTTTTACGGCCTAAGCTACTAGGACTATCTGGCCAGGTGTTAGAAATTAGAAATATTCTACCTTTGGTTGAGTGCTTTGAAGAAGGCAATCAAAATAAATTAATAATAAGATAGAGTATACAAAACAATAAAATTAGATTATACAAAATGTAGTTAATATTTTATTATGCCTACCTTGATAAAAGAATGACAGCATTTATAACCCCACTGACCACCTTTCCAATATGAACCCCAAACACTTGTATGATTGTTAATATAAATATCTTCCTCATATTTGGAACGTATCTCCTCTTTTTCTTGGCCCTTCATAATTTTACCTGATCTTGAATATTCAACATAATCTTCTGTTTGGGCAAGCAATAAAGTTTTTGGTGGAGCTTCCAAATGTTCTTCTCCTCCATATTTTTCTAAAATATTAGACTGAACTTTGGTTTTGAACTGTTCCTTCTTTTTGTCATATTCCTTTTGTAGCAGTTCCAATTTTGTAGGCTCGGCCAAGAGATGAACGTCCACACCTTTCTCGTAGGCTTCCCAAGCAAAAAGTTGAGCTGTTGCATGAGATTTTGTAGCACCACTAAATCTTACAAAGTTTTCTCCTTTGTATCTAAAATATAATACAATTTTATTAAATACAGATAGTTTATAAATTATGTATTAAGACTTTGAGCTAACTTTGAACCTATCAAATGAACAGTCAAAAGTAAAAAGGACCTAATTGTTAAACTGTCAACGTCATTTGAAATACAACAAATACGTATCGAGTCTATAAAAATTATATAAATATACTTACGTATCATCTTTTCCTGGATTTGGATTTTCCCTCATAGATCTAGTTTTTGGATCATAATATGCAGAATTCGGATCTAAATTTCTTAAATATTTTGCTGTATCTTCACGAATACGTAAATTCCTTACAGTAATTCTTTGTTTGCTATCTACTTTTGTACCAGGCATATCTACTTCATCAACATATTTGTCTTCATCTTCATCATTATCAGAATTTTCAGCATCTAATTTTTCAGCTTTCAGTTGCCTCTTTGCTTCCTCTACTTTCTGGAATTCCTCTATCACTGATGTGTGCTCTAGTGGATTGTAACCACTCCATCTGTCTCTTTTACCATCGAAACTCAATGATAAATTCTTTTGTACAAATTCATCAGGTAAAATATCTGTGTTAGAGTACTTAGCACCTACTTTCCTCGGGCGATCCATGCAATCCTTCTTTTTATGGGTCATAGCGCCACAATTTTCACAAGCTCCTTTTCTGTATCTGGTAACAATTTTAGTCTAATAAAAAAAATGTCAAATATTATTTTATTACTATTTATGTAACTTATGTTATACTTACTGTGTCAAGACCTCTTTTATACCATTCATCTATAGCAGAGTACTCTTGCTGTTTATCATCTTGAGGCCTTTGATGCTTTAAGGTGGGACCACTTGTCCCATAATACCAAGGCGCATTCGAAATATATTGGGGTATATGAGGATTGATATCCTTTCCTTCTTCATCAACAGCGGCTGGAGCAGTACCAGCTTTTCGTGCTTCTTCTAGTTCTTTAGCTTTCCTCCAATCTTCCCTTGATTTCTTTTTGGGTTCATCGTCAAATTCCGCCTTACTTTTCAATATTTGGGATACTGTTAAACCCTGAGTAGGATTTGCCATGTTTATAAAGTTCGTTTAACTTTAAGACACTAAACCGCTACCAAATACACTTATCTGTAATAAAAAAATAACTCTTTTATATCCAGTATTTTATTTAAAACAGATTCATAACAAAACAAAACACAAAATTATTTTTTCTTTTCTGAAGATTTCTGTCAATTAATTATCTGTCAAATTTCTGTATTTTTGACCAACATCATATATAAAAAGAACGAATCATATTCTCTCTTTATTTGGTAGGTGTGTAATGAGTGAAAAATACCATATATTTTGAGTAGTTCGTTTATTTCCTGAATTTATATGGAAGATTTCAATAAGTTGGCGCCTGTTTCAAATTAAAACAAAACGCGGGTAACCAGTAAACAATACTTTGTAAGTAAATTTTTTTTAGATGTCCAAATTACAACGTAAAATGAAAATTTTATAAGATCATTTATCAAATAATCATGTCGGTTATCAATTTTTTGAAGAGATTTAACGTGATTCGCACTAAAATACCACCTATAAGCAGTGCCCGCTGTTTTTGTTCAGATGAATGTGCAGATGAAAAGGTAAATTGAATTTTTAAATGTACTTTTTATTTTAATATATTACATGTTTTATAAGCGTAAACTATGACTGTTTTATGATATGAGTATCAGTATGTATTATATTTTTTAGAAAGGACTTATACTTGGTGTCTACGAAGGTGAAAATGAAGAACCGGTATTTACAAAAGCTGCGTCAAAATTTAACGATCATTTAGGAGGAAAACTCTTAGAATTAGTAAAAACGTAAGTAATTTTAATTTAAAAAAGTTCTTTTTCAATACTTTTCTTTTTTAGATTTTTTTTACCTGTGACATAATTCAAAATGTCAAAAGTTTGATATAATTTGTTATCGAATTCTTAAATAAAAGAATAAGTGCATAGTTCAAACAATTAATTAATTAAATATTTTATAAGGTTTATGCCACAATTTAGTGTTGTTATTTCTTTCCGAAGTCGATATATTTCTTATATACAGGGTCACTTAAAAATTGCCTCTGAATTTCGGATTTTAGTTTTATTTTAAAATGAATTACAATTTAAATAGTTATGATCAATAATGATCATGCGAATATTTATTAGCGGGTAATTAAAATTAGCCTGCATATAAAATTTCAAACATTGCATGGCAGATAGAGAAAAATCATATTATATTATTCTAATATGCTGTTATTTATTGTTTTAACCAAGGATATATAGAATAGTTTTAACAAATAATAAAATGTATAATTCATTAATATATAAAAGTATGTGTATTTGAGATTCTTACGTTTTCGAATAATTACGTCTCATTCTTATAATATAATTTGAGACCAATCATGATCAAGATTTCTTTCAGATTTCTTTATAAAACTTTGACTAATGACAGTAACAGGTAAATATAATCAATAGTAGGTATAATCATTGGTTACCTGTCACGCTGGAAAGTTCCATGGACATTAATTCGGAAAGTATTTGGAAAACATCGAACTAAAAATGAAACTTCTACACCCTGTATGTCCAAAACGAAGAATTTTAGGACACAAATTTATATGAACTTTTTTACCTATTTTTATTGTTATACCGGGTGCATCTCAAAAGTGGCTCACCTCTAACTATAACTTTTTTATTTTTTCAGATAAAAAAACAAGATTTGGTATGTTAGTATATGACATAAATTAGGATTGATTGACATATTCAATTGTTTTCTATCACTTCCTGTTTCACCGGAAATGACTACAACTTTTGATTTTTAAATGGCACCCTCGGTATTTTTTTTCTTTATTCGATATAAAATGACATTCTAATTCTAAATAGAATGACATATCATATGTCAAATTTTGACATTTTTGCTTAAAACAAAATTGTATTTTAAATTTCAATCTAGAGTGCCATGGCTGTGTTAAAAACACTAATTTTTAATCAAGGAGCCTTGGAAAAATAGATTTGATCGTCTAATATTACTCGTGTCTTGTCCTGGCCTGTTAAAAGATTGGGTTAAAAGAGACCCAAATCGTATTTTTAATCATATCTCAATTTTTTGAAATGGAACGAGATATTTGGAAAAAGCATTTTTTTACGAATAATTTGGTACCACACACTTGGTATTTCGAGTCAAACTGTCGCACGGTGGGGTATTAGCATGAAAAAGGTGATCGAAATTCGAAGATTTAAGATTTCCCAAAAAAAGATAAATGATAAGTTAAATCATCTCTGCCATGAATGGCGTTGCTATGGGTGTGTTTAGTTGCATTCATTTGTTTCAACGAAACGTCAAAGTTGTTACTTCTCACCTCTGTTCTCACAGATAAGAGGTAAATGGCTAAATTTTATGTTTAAAATTATAAATTGTTGTTGTTCTTGTGCTCTTTTTACGTTTATATTATCGTTTTGATTGAAAATGGCTCAGCAAGCTGCAGGTATGTATTCTACAAAAACGTATTATTTATTTTGATATTCTCTATACTAACGATTTTTTTTGCAACTAAAAGTTAGGCGTTCAGAAAATTTGATTAAATTTGTGACATTTTTATTATACTTAGATATTTAGTTCCGCATTTCGAAGAATTCAGCATATTGTCTATATACGTTTTACTTAGTAAACATTGGGCTTTCATACAGTAAAATAAAATACTACGACTTTTTGCGACTTTGCTGATAAAATGAGAAAAACATTCTTGGTTTCCTCTAATTTGCCAATCAGTGATATACTAATGCGAGGTGTAAACCGCGATGGCATTGTTGAATACAAAGCGATCGCATTAGTGCCATTAGCAGTATAGCACAATTTGGCATTAGTAGCGACTTTAGTGGTATGGGCATTGCTCGCTGATCAGTCGTAGCATTAGTAGTAGTAGTTGCGATATTACTACTGGCACTGACCGTGGAAACACTGGAACAGTGATTTTTCTTTCTTTTTTTAGAATCGACGAATTATCCTTTATTTTGTTCATATTATTTCCTCTTTAACTGAAAATAGCAATAATTTATATAAGGTCTACATAAAAAAATTTCGATCAACTATCAGTGTCAAATACCCCACTGTGTGTCGTTATGAATCGCATGTTGCAATTTCAAATAAACCATATTCGAAAATGTCAAAAGTTGACATATGATATGTCATTCTATTTAAAGTGTCATTTTCTATCGAATAAAATAACAAAACACCGAGGGTACCATTTAAAATTCAAAATTTGTAGTCATTTTCGATGAAACAGGAAGTGCAGGAAGTGACAGAAAACAAATGAATTCGTCAATCAATCCTAATTTATGTCATATATTAATAATATCATATCAAATATCGATATTTGATATAAAAAAAAATACCGAGGGTGCCATTTAAAAATCAAAAGTTGTAGTCATTTCCGGTGAAACAGGAAGTGATAGAAAACAATTGAATATGTCAATCAATCCTAATTTATGTCATATACTAACATACCAAATCTTGTTTTTTTATCTGAAAAAAATAAAAAAAGTTATAGGGGTGAGCCACTTTTGAGACGCACCCGGTATAGAATATGCTGCTAAAGATTCCCGAATACAATTCGGACCACCCTGTATATAAATTGTAATTTGTTTTAGAGGAGGATGCGAAATAAAACGCGGCGATGGCCGCACCTACAACAATCTGGACAAGGAGTTCTGGTCGGTGGCTGTTGTGGGCCTGGGCAAGGAGAAGCTGGCCTACTGCGAGATGGAGGCTATAGACGAGGGGCTGGAGACGGTGAGGGAGGCGGCCGGCATCGGGGCGCAGCTCCTCAAGCGCCAGTGCGTCGGCCGGATACTGATCGAGGGCCTGGGTCACCCGGAACAGGCGGCGGAGGGCAGCGCGCTGGCGCTCTGGCGGTATCAGGAAAACAGGTGAGCCTGCTTTAATCGAATGATTGGAATTTTTAATTCATAATGATTTTCTCTATTGCCTCCTTGGATGTGGGGTCAGTTACTATTGTGGCGACCTGGCCATGGCCCTTCTTCCTCAAATTGATGACTTGCTAAGTTAATGTTTTTATATTTGAATTGTGACAAATCTTGTGATACACTGCAAGGGTTAGTCGGTCCACTTCTACAGAGCCCCGTATGTAGAAGTAAGGGGTAAACACAAAGCGGTGTCCGTTTTGGTTTGCCTCAAGGGTGATTCCAGAAAATTCCAGTGATTCCAGTATTTTATCTAGCCACCGATTTTATCTAGGACCAGGTCAAAGGGATACCCCATCGTAGGTTCCGCCATCGTAGGATTGACGTTTTTGGTGAGGTTGTCTCCTCTTGGTCCGCGCAGTTATTATCGATTGTCATTTCCTAACCGTCTATGATGTCGTTTTTTTTCGATGTTATAGCACCTCCAACTATTTTTATTCTTTTATGTCCCATGTTCAGGTTTCCATACCCTAGGTCCATATCAACGACATCTTCCCATCTCAAGTAAAATTAAATAATTCCAAAGGGCCGTTTAGACTTTCATCTTTGAGACTTTCATTCATCCGATTGTGGTATAAAACTTTTTCAGAGAATTTCCTGTGCATGACAGAAAAAGTTTCTAGCTCAAATTTTAATGATATTTTGGCGAAATTAGAAAAAATCGTTTAATGAAAATTAATTTTTTAAAGATACCTAATAGACGCTAATAGATTTAGCCACAGCCCAACTTGACCGTACATAACTTATCCGACTATGATAGCAACTTTTTACTTAGAGACGTTAAAAGTTGATGTCGAAAATTTCTATTCCAAAAATATCTTACTGTCAAAAATAAGAGTTTCTTGAAATTTGACCATGTTAAGACTAAATTTTCAAAGGCCTTAGTTTGCGCTGCGTTTCAGTGTACATTTTTGTGTGTTAAAAGCCACCCACAAAAAAGTAGTACAGTAACGCGAAAACCGCACCTTTGTATCTCTACTCATAAACGAGAAAACCCATAAAACATAAAAATGGTTCCGACACCCTGTACAGAGTAGTCCACCGTCTCTTGATAGTTCAGCGACAATTAAACGCCGCACACTGGAGCAGAATTGGCAATTTATATACAATAAGTATTAAAAACTATATCTTCCTAATTCAGGTGAAATTAATGTATTGTTGTAAGCTATATGCCGCTGAATATTATATAATAATATAGGCGCTGAATCGACAGTGGTTGCTTAGAAATAGTCTTTGTTTTTGCTAGGGCTGTAACGAGCCCTGTTTTTTAACTTGACCGAGTACCTAGTACTCGGCTGCCGAGTAGTCTTAACAATTATGCGACCTTTATCAATATATACTAATTATAATATACACCATAACATAATATTATATTTTATACATAATATAAATATATAATTTAATATTAAAGAAAGCTAGTTAAAATTCCCGGAATTCACCGGCCTTAAACCAATGATCTTGTTTGTTTTGCCTATGATTGGCAAGCGGCTGGGATTCTCCGACTACAAACCAATGACCTGGTTTGTTTTACTTATGGAGATATTGTTTTATTCTGTGGTTCCCCATGCAAACTGATATTTCTAATGTGCTGGATTCTGAATTGATTCTTTTTAAGGTGCGGTGGCGACGTTGATTTTGTTTAAAGCAAAACTTATATGTGTAACTAATTTAAAAGTCAAAAATAATTCAAACAATTAATAATACCCTTTAAAGTTATATTAAAATGAGTGACAATGCTGACCTCTTAGATTATAAGTATTAAATTATTATTTCACTGTGTTTGTGTTATTACTTATACATATTATTATTACTTTGCTAAAATACATTAATTAAAGTTATGAATGAATAACTTTTTGTTTATTTTATTATTTCCCACTGTGAGTCTCATTTCTATCTGTTTTGGACATGCATAAATGGACTGTTTCTATTACTATACTTTACTCGGCCTACTCGGCCGAGTAAGGCCGAGCACCGAGTACATATTACTCGGTTAAAATTCTGGCCGAGCACCGAACTACTCGGTATTCGGTGCAGCCCTAGTTTTTGCGTATAAAATTGTTTCGATTTTCTTGAGCCGGCCTTTCAATTTACTCCTATTTTATATTTGATTTTCTAATAATAAGTTCATATTTATTTTAATAGTTACATTGTTATTCGCTCGCATCGGGTAAGTAAATTAATATTCCCCTGGTTTTGATCTATATTACGCGATTATTCGAAGACACAAGAAAGTTGAAATAATATGTAAGCCAAAAATTTGCATCCACTTAATTAAATTTGAAAATCACAAAGTAGTTTAGTTATGAATCTTTGTACATCCGCCTGATTTTGACATATATTATTTTTACTCCGTTCAAACAATTTAATATTATAACGAAAATTTTTGCCCGTTCTTGCCCCATTGTAAATTATTTTAAGTTTAATGAACCTATAAATAGTCGAAATAGTCGAAAAATTGATCATAAATTATCGCTAAATTTATTCTCGCTAAGTTTTCTTCGGCAAGAATTGACATTTGTCTGCTATTTTCTTCTGAATATATGGTATAAAAATAGAAAATGGATGAAATACTATATTATGTAATGGAGCATTGTTAAAAATGTATTATGGGCGAATAGGAAAAGTTGCACACAAGGCGTGTGGTGATGGGTGTAGTATTGTATAAGCGTATTACTATATTTCCGCAACAAGATTTACGTACTAAACTTTACCTTACGACCACAAATATTGCAAAAACATTTTCGTTATTAAAGTTTTTTAAATGTTTGGTATACAGGGTGGCACCTCTCATACTACACGGAAGCTCCAAGAAGAATGTCTGAAAGAACGTTTACATTGAAATGCAATTTTCTGAGCAAATGTAAGTCAATTTAGAGCATTTTTTAAAAATATATTGAGTTCTACAAGGTGTCCCCAAACAAGGTTACACATCAAAGTTGTCCTTTTTGTAACGGAACACCCTATACAGGGTGTCCCAGAAATAAGTGCAAGTATTTTAAGGGGCGGTAGATCTCGATAAAAGAAACATATTTTCTCTTTATCATTTTTCAAATAAGTCTAAAATAACGGAGTTATTTTATTTTGAAAATTTAAAAAGAAATATATTTATTGTTAAATATATATATGTTGCCATATTATCAAGAAATTATGTTTTTTGACTAAAAACTAAAAAAAAATCCAAAAATTCCGAATTTTAATTTTTTTTTCGCGAAAAAAACCTCATAGGCATGTTTCTGGGGTTGAACTATACTACCAGTTATAATACTTGCATTTATTTTTGGGACACCCTGTATATTAATTGATTTTCCGATTCTAGAAAGAAATAAAGGTGAGTTTCATTAGAGAAGCATAAAACTAAAATGTAAGGTTTTTGAAATATTTAAAATTTTCTAAAAATAAAGACATTTTAAACTTCAGTAAATTCTACCTAAATTGGAATTTCTAGTCTAAATATAGTAAAATAACCGTTGTAAACTTTCGAAAAATGAAGTGATTTTTTTTGTTTACCCGTCCTGTATAATAGTTATACTGCTAAGCAATAGCCATTTTTTGATAAAAGTCACTTTATAAGCTGCTGAAATTAAAGTAATAAAAATATCTAAACTTTTGAAAAATAAAGTGATTTTTTTGTCGAGCCACCCTGTATAATAGTCATACCGCTAAGCAATAGCCGTTTTTTGATAAAAGTCACTTTATAACCTGCTGAAATTAAAGTAATAAAAATATCTAAACTTTCGAAAAATAAAGTAATTTTTTTGTTGACCCACCCTGTATAATAGTCATATCGCTAAGCAATAACCATTTTTCGATAAAAGTCACTTTATAACATGTTAATTATTCTTAAATATATGTGTACTATCACCCAAACTTTTTCGATATATTAAGTGAATCCTGCCCCACTGTGCGCCGTTTGCCAATAAGAGAGCATGTTTTTAGAATTATGGCATTTTGTAACGATTTTGTTTAGTTTTTCTTTGACGATTCCTGATAACTCCTAATTTATAATTGTTCCAGATCTCGCCAGCATTGGAAGCCCATTCCCACGCTAGAGTTGTTCGACGACAGCGACGCGGAAAGTTTTCAGAGGGGCCTCTTCAAGGCGGAGTCCCAGAACTTGGCCAGGCGATTGTCGGACACCCCCGCCAACCAAATGACGCCGCTGCATTTTGCGCAGGAAACCGTCAACGAGCTGTGTCCCTGCGGGATCAAAGTGATGGTCCACGATAAAGACTGGGTGGAGAGTAAGAAGATGAACGCTTTCTTAACGGTAGGATATATGTATAGGGTTACCCATAAAAATAGTTAGAGAGAAGGTATGATTATGTTTGACATTTAAAAAATGACACAAATGAAACAATTTACTTGACAAAAATGACAGACAACTGTCACACTTATAATGCAAAAAATGGTGTATCTAACTTCGGTGGGTGATACTACAGATAAAAATAAAACAAAAAGTCCCTATGATCATATGCCTTGAAATGCTTCGCAAAGAAGTTGCAGCTCTTGAAAGGATAGATAAAAATAACATATTTTATTTATTTTTATAACATTGGTAAACTGTTTTTCTTAAAATTTGGTACTCTTCCGTAAAACCCTGAAAGAATTTTATTATCAAAAGGTAAGGGTAGAGAGCACTGCTGGTGGTACTTTTTTATTCTTATAGATACCGTAATTTCAAAAAATGACAGGTAATAAAAAGCTAGGACATTTCTATGAAAAAAGATCCACTTTGTTTAGTTCGATACGGTGAACGGTTTTCAAGATATTTGCGTCTAAAGGTTGGGATGCGTCGATTTTAGTATTAGCGAAATGATGAAATATAAAAATCGGTATATCGAAAAATCGGTATTATATCGTAGGCGTACAGCGAAAATCCGGTTTCGGCATCCTTATATTATATTATAAGGATGCCGAAATTGGACTTAATCGGTTTTTCATGTTAAAGACCGTGAAAAACTGGACATAGTGGTGTGTTTAATCCAATTCAACCAAAAATGTGACTTAGAGGATTTTTGCTGTACGCCCACGATATTATCATTGGTGTTTAGGAAAATATAGCTAAGCATTAATAAAGTTCAATTCTCTCCAGGTAGTAACCACTTTTCCGACATACTGTTTTTAACCAAAATTTCAGTAAATAAAAAATGACATGGCAACACTGCATAGCGCTGCAAATTAAAATAGCGTATTATATACAGAATTTTATGTTGATTCCAATTTTGTACAGGGGTTGCAGTTAAAGTTCTTTAAACTGCTTAACAACTTTATCATTATTTTTTTGGGATACTCTGTATAGTATATAACAAAAAGAACGAACAATAACAAAAAGAACGAACAATCATAATCTCACAAATTATGAATGTTAAAGTTTGTCTTGTTGGAATGTACAAGGTGTGTCAAAAAGTTTGCAACAATTGGCAATTTTAATCGTGTAATAAATAAGTTAAGTGTTTATGACGTGTTTGAATTAAAGACTTACGAATATTTATGGCACTTCAAAAAATGTTTTTCTTTATTTTTTTTGGTGTTTGTCACCTAACCTCTTTTTTATGTAAATAGAATTTTAATTATTTTTAGAAGCAAATGTCAAAATAATCATGTTACTGTCTTATATTTTTTCTCGCTGTCACTTATATTTTCTCGCTGACTAAGCTATACCGGGTGCGTCTCAAAAGTGGCTCACCCCTATAACTTTTTATTTTTTTAGATAAAAAAATGACATTTGTTATGTTAGTATGACATAATTTAGGATTGATTGACGCATTCAACTCTTTTCGGTCACTTCCTGTTTCACCGGAAATGATTACAACTTATGATTTTTAAATTGCACCCTCGGCATTTTTTTTACTTTATTTGATAGAAAATGACACATTGAATAGAATGACATATCATATGTCAACTTCTGACATATGAAGTAAATTTTATACATATTCGGTTAAAAAAACATTGTATTTTAAATGTCAATCTTGAATGCCATGGCTGTGTTAAAAACACTAATTTTTATTCAAGGAGCCTTGGAAAAATAGATTTGATCGTCTAATATTACTCCTGTTTTGTCCTGTCGGTTAAAAGAGACCCAAATCGTATTTTTAATAATATCTCATTTTTTTCAAACGGAACAAGGGTGGCTCATTAACATATTTGGAAAAAGCATTTTTTTACGAAAAATTTGGTACCACACACTTGGTATTTCGAGTTAGATTGTCGTTATGAACTGCAATGACAAGTAAACCATACGCAAAAATGTCAAAAGTTGACATATGATATGTCTTTCTATTCAGAGTGTAATTTTCTTTCAAATGAAATAAAAAAATACCGAGGGTGTCATTTAAAAATCAAAAGTTGTAGTCATTGTCGGTGAAACAGAAAATGACCAAAAACAATTGAACACGTCAATCAATCCTAATTTATGTCATATACTAATATAGAAAATATCAATTTTTTATGTGATCATGTATGGTGATCATTTCCTGTGAAAGTGGGAGTAATCGAAAACAATTATTGAATACGTCAATCAATCCCAACTTATTAACCAAATCTCGATTTTTTTATCTGAAAAAATAAAAAAGTTATAGGGGTGAACCACTTATTTTGCGACGTACCCGGTATATGACTTCAATAACCCTGCAAAGATATTATTTCTTACAGGTAGCTCGGGGTTCCTGCGAACCACCAGTCGTCGTTGAAATATCGTATTGCGGCGCCCATCAAGATCAAAAACCCATTTTGATGGTAGGCAAAGGAATCACTTTTGACAGCGGAGGATTGTGCATAAAGAGGTGCGACGGTATGGATAGATATAGGGCGGACATGGTGGGAGCAGCGGCTATAATTGCAGCCATTAGGGCAGCTTCAGCTTTAAGTTTGCCCATTAACATCGAGGCTGTGATTCCCCTATGCGAAAATATGCCCAGCGGTAAGTGTTTATCTTTTTACCCGGGTTTTGATGATTTTTTGAAGTGAAACTTCTTTACGCGCGTTGGGAGTAAAATGAAAATTCAAGGTCGTGACACAGCGAGAGGAAAAGTGGTAACGACAGTGTTGCCACAGCCACCCCATTCGTGGTAGGTCTACACCTTTCTAAAACAATTTAACCCCGCTATCTCGTAATAATCTAACCCGATGAAAAACAAGCTTGTGGCAACACTGGGTAACGACCTGTGCCATACGCGGCTAAGAAAATCACTATAATAAACTTGATACTGTACCAACCTTGATGTATACCAATATCCTCTGGTTGTATGCTAGGAAATAAATTTCATGCATATTTTTATCGATATGTTGGTAGCTTGTGAATAACGGTCTAGGTAAAGCATCTAGCTCATTTGCCAGCTCAGAATTAGAATTTAGAGTTAGTAACTCACATTTTCATTGAAAGACACCGTCATATTTATTTCAAACCAATAATCAACGAGAATATTCGTATAATTTAATAAGATTACTGTAAATAATTATAAATAATGAATAATGAACATAACATTTAAACAAAAACAAACAGACCACACAAAACAAATTGTTGGCTAGTAGTAGTCAGACATATAGATGTCGTAGTATTTTGATGTTGTAGCAATCCAGTCGGGTGATAGACTTATCGTTTTTTAACAAAAATTAAAAAAAAACGTTATAAAATTATAAAGCTAGAATAGTATACGGTTTATACTAACTCTATTTTTTTTGAAGTTCATAAAAAAGCATTCATAAAAAATATATAACTTTCAAAGCATTTATTTTAATAGCTGTTAGTAAGAAGTTTTATATCAAATATGCGCACATGAGCACAAACTGTTTTTTTTTTAAATTTTTTCTCAAAAATCTGCCACAATTTAGCTGTATACGAATTACGTTTTATTAATAGTTAAAGTATGTTCAACGAATCCAAAAGGTTTCGACAAATAACATCTAAGGAATGAGAAAAAATACAAACTATCTGTGAATTAAGATTACCGACAATAACCATCATTGCCATGTACCCTTTCGGTATAGTCTGTCCAACGAGAAGATCCTTGACAGTGATAGATGTGTCTGTCATTTTAATTTCAAAGTAGTTTATTTTATTTTACAAAGAAATAAGTTGGTACAACTGGAACGCATAGCAGGAAATATTTAAAATTTGATTGACAAGATGACAACTGATTACATCAAAATATTGTGAAAAAAACGAAAAAAACTGTATAAAACTGAAAAAATGTAATCGAGTTATTTTATTTAATAAAACCGGTATGTGTTAATACAAAACAAACAAGAACAAGACACTACATACCAAAAAAATATAAAAAAGAACTATTTTTTACTTTCAAGCTTTATGAAACTACCCGCATATATGATTATATTTATCAATATAACTTATGTACAAATACAAATTTGTAATATTCCACAGGAATAAATACATAGGTACCTAACAAAAACAACATAGGTAACAACATAGGTAAATAAAACAAACTATTTTATTAATAATAACACCTACCAAATTTTATACCTTAAAGGTTGATTAATTAACTTGAATCTTAATTTTTTTAAACCAGTACCTTTTGACATTATTTTTCTGCAGTACTAAAATCCATTATTTACCTATCGTGTGATGTCGATATTTTACAGCTACTCCAGTTTTTAGTATGTGTTTAGTTTGATCCTTCTACTATATACGAGATGCACTTATCTACGACGAGATGGTATACAAACTTTAACGATGGCAACTTCATTGGTGTATAAGACCTTCGGCCTGGGTAGCGAGTATTAACCATAAACTGTGCTCTGGGTCTACAGTTAATTTTCACTCGATTTTTCCTCCACTTGACTTCAAAAGACACAAAACATACGTAATAATACGAATCAAAATGCATCATCTTCCAAAACGCAGGGTATTTAACAAAAGTTGACACAAAATTATAACCTATAATTTGGCAAGACTTTGACAAGCATCAAAAATGACAAAAATCTAAAGGCGAGTTCATACGCCGATGCGTCCGTTTATCGTTCATCGTTCCGTCAAACCAATAAAATTGAAATACGATCTGTCATTTTTTAAATAAACCAATAAAACTGGTTAAAAACAACAAGACACGACGCATGACGGATTTATATTTAAACCCATCCATAGATAACTTAAAAATTATTAGAATTTTTTTTTAGTAAAATAAATAGATTGGCATGGGACGTCATCTGCTTTTCTTCTGTCATCGTCTGTCGAAATCTTACCTGAGAAAAAAAACAGAGTATAGACACATTTTAGTTGTTTTTGTAGTATATTTTTGAAATAAAATTAAATTCAATAATGCATTTGAATATACACAAAATGTATAAAAGTAGTAGGTAATACCGCAGATAACACATAATCCAGATTGCTCCTTACGTGTTAAAAATTGTCGACTCTATTTCACTCCTGTTTGGATAAATATTGGAGTGACACAGAGAATAGGAGTGACATTTGAATAATCTGAAATTTTTAGATTTCTATTCTAATTTTTTTGAGAGGTTTTGTTTTGATTATGTGTTATCTGTGGTAATACTCAGTGGAAGGAACATTGCTTATCATGGCCCATTACAAAGAACCGCACTACATTTGCCAGACACAGCACTGAAATTGTCATTGAACTTAGTAGACTCACTACAATTTTGACAGCTTCCTGTCTTTTCTGACGAGGTATATCTTAAATTTTAGCGAGTGTTCTACTATGAAATATTTTGCCCATCTCTGTTTTAGTCAATGTTTCTACCATTCTAGAGGAAGATACAGGGCCCGAATTTCTGGAACTTTTACATAAAAACGTTACGCTTTCAAAGCGGCAAGCCAAAGTATTCGATGAGCACAATGCCAAGCAGTCGATTTTGGTATTCTCGTTGCCGTGCGAATCGCGTTGAGCACATATTGACAGCATCGCAATTTCTCAGGTATCTAACAGTCAAATGTGAATAAAACAATGAAAAATGTCAATATTACGTGAATTTCATAACCTATTGTTGAGTTATGTCAACTTATTTTTCTATGGATATTTCATTATTCTTATTATATGAGGGAAATGATGAAAAGGCTTCTCAACATTTTCGATGTTTCGAACAATATTTATAGCTGCCAAGATTATCAGTTACTTATTGAGAAATTTATAGAAGAAGTAGTTTTCACTAAAGAGCAAGACAACGCACGAAATCACATTTTTTTCTATTTTTACTGAGAGCTCGGCAAGCAAAACGATCCTTTAAGGAAGCCGTTTTCAAATCGCTTAGCGCAATGAGTAAAGACGCTAAGCGCGTCAGATGAGGATACCTAAATAGGTAGTTAAGTTCGTGCCAAGCAAAAATTAACGTCATTTACGCTGAGCGTCTAAAAGCGCTTAGCGTTTTCTAAGTTACAGAATTCGGGCCCAGTAGTAGCACTCTAGGATTCTTCCACAGTGCACATAATTCCTTTGCATGTTTTTAATCTTTATGAACTTTGTTGTAGGTATGGCAATGAAATGCGGAGACGTTGTTATGGGTCTGAACGGAAAATCCATCATGATCACCGACACTGACAACGAGGGGCGGCTTATTTTGGCGGACGCTTTGGTATACGGACAGAACGCACACAGTCCAAGACTCATCATCGATGTGGCCAGTTTAACACCAGGTGTTCGGGCCGCTCTGGGATCAGCTGCTAGCGGGGTCTTCTGTAATTCTCAAACTATGTGGTCACAGGTAAGATTTACGTCGCTCTTTTTTCAGATTTACCTGACTGTCTCTATGCCACTTTTATCATCGCAGCGCAGGGAGGATTAATGAATGAATTTATTATCATCATATATTTATTTCTTAGTTTATTAGATTATTCAGTATGACGCAATCGTTATCTTTCTACAGGGTGGTCCGAATTTTATTCGGAAAACTTCGCCAGCGTATTCTGCGGCTAAAAATAGGAAGTAAAACAGTTCGTATAAATTGTAATTATATGTCCTAAAATGATTCGTTTTGGAAATACAGGGTGTAAAAGTTTTATTTTTATTTCGGGGTTTTCCAAATAATTCTTGATCTATAGTCGACATTTTGATGAATATTGATGAGAAATTTGATGTCGAGGTCAATATGACTCCTACTTGTAGGGGGCGCTTAACTGTTTTGAAGAGTAATAACTTTTTGTCCGTACCTGTGTTAAACTACTGTGTGAAAAAAATATATTTATATTTTCGTCGTTTTTTTGTCATTTGTTTTGACACTTTAATTCTGTGTTTATTTTTTTTTTGTGTTTTATTTTATATTATATGATTTTGGTTTAAATGAATTTGTTCTTAAAAATGTTTATTAGCAGACCTTGCAGTCGAACATTGTTATTTTTAGAACCTTTTTTTATGCGAAGTGTACAAGATAGCTTAATAGCTGCGAAAAAACTTAGCTTAATAGCTGCGAAAAAACTTATCGCAACTTTATTAGAATATTTTGAACGGGAAAGCGGTAGTAATGGCTCTTTATGTCTTTTAAGTGCTGTTAAGCAGGTGAGTTTTGTTGATGTAAATAATAACTGTTCATATACAGGGTGGCGCACCTCAGTCGCCTCGGTTGATTATACGAAAAGGGAGAGATGTAGAAACAAAATATTTTATGGGTATATGTGGGGAGCCAATATGCACAATTTAAAATTATTTTGAAATATACAGGTTGTTTCAGAACTAAGATCCATACCAAAGTTATATTTTTCTTATGGAACACCCGGTATTTTATTTCATTTTTGGATTCTTGGGTCCAAAAAAAGGCATTTATTATAAGGGTTAAATATGTTTAGAATCTTTAGTTTTTGAGATATTTAAAGATATTTAAATTTGCATGCTACAATAGAATAGATTAACACCCTGTACATTACTTTTCAGAATTCATTCTTATGTTGAGTTTAAAGGCAGAGAAATAAACTTTACTGAAAAATGGTATTGCTTCCTTAAATTTACACAAGACTATCAAAAGTTGCTGATCTATTTTAAGGATATATTTTATATAAAAACTTCATTATTTCAAATAATGTCATTGTACCTTGTATTTTTTAAAATAAATCGAAGCAGATTCAAATGCTCTGTCAAACTATATTAGGGTTTCCTATACATATCTAGCTCAGATTTTGAATAAAAAGCAATTTTTAAATAAAATTGTAATATTATTTATAATTTTTAACAGTTGACTTAAATGTACAGGGTGGGTCAAATTCGACGCTTTTAAATGGAAACACCCTTTTCTATAGGAGATAGACGAAAACTAATATCGGTGTCTGGAGCTTAATTTTCATCAAAAACATGATGGCGAAAACCGCACATCAATATATGTTACCGTTTCGGAGTTACGGGGTGTTTTTCAAAAATGTGCATTTTTAACAAATCACTGTAACTTTTTTGCTATGGAAAATTTTGTATTTCTATGAAAAGATTTCCAAAGCACCTTTTTACGTAGAATTTAATGGTTTAAGTATAATTTTTTAAAAATTAATAATTTAAGAGTTATCAACAGAAAATTTGATTTTTTATTTGGGACACCCTCTATATTTTTAATTAACTTAAAAGAATTTAAAATTACCTTCCCAAAAATATAGCACACTTGATATTTTGTTATAATCCCCTTCGAAATACAGAGTTTTAAAAGTTCGCCACTTTTAACTAGTAGGCTTTGGATCTCTTATGATATGCCCTTAATGAAACTCGAAAACATATTTTTCCAGCAAGACGACGCACCGCCTCTGAACGCTGAAGTTATCAGCAAATTTTTGCAGCCAATTTCAAGAATAATTGAATAGCTAACCAAGATCCCAGCCGTTGGCCGTCGAGGCCGCCTGACTTAGTGCCCATGGATCTAATCCTATGGATGATGATTTTTTGAAGTGAAACTTCTTTACGCGCGTTGGGAGTAAAATGAAAATTCAAGGTCGTGACACAGCGAGAGGAAAAGTGGAAGTAACGACGAATTTTTGCCACAGCCACCCCATTCGTGGTAGGTCTACACCTTTCTAAAACAATTTAACCCCCCTATCTCGTAATAATCTAACCCGATGAAAAATAAGCTTGTGGCAACACTGGGTAACGACCTGTGCCATACGCGGCTAAGAAAATCACTACAATAAACTTGATATTGTACCAACCTTGATGTATACCAACATCCTCTGCTAGGAAGTAAATTTCATGCATATTTTCATCGATATGTTGGTAGCTTGTGAATAACGGTCTAGGTAAAGCATCTAGCTCATTTGCCAGCTCAGAATTAGAATTTAGAGTTAGTAACTCGCATTTTGATTGGAAGACACCGTCATATTTATTTCAAACCAATAATCAATGAGAATATTCGTATAATTTAATAAGATTGCTGTAAATAATTATAAATAATGAATAATGAACATTATTTAAATTTACATTTAAACAAAAACAGACCACAGACCACACAACACAAATTGTTGGCTAGTAGTAGTCAGACATATAGATGTCGTAGTATTTTGATGTTGTAGCTATCCAGTCGGGTGATAGACTTATCGTTTTTAACAAAAATTAAAAAAAAAACGTTATAAAATTATAAAGCTAGAATAGTATACGGTTTATACTAACTCTATTTTTTTTGAAGTTCATAAAAAAGCATTCATAAAAAATATATAACTTTCAAAGCATTTATTTTAATAGCTGTTAGTAAGAAGTTTTATATCAAATATGCGCACATAGAGCACAAACTGTTTTTTTTTATTTTTTCTCAAAAATCTGCCACAATTTAGCTGTATACGAATTACGTTTTATTAATAGTTAAAGTATGTCCAACGAATCGAAAAGATTTCGACAAATAACATTCTAAGGAATGAGAAAAAATACAAACTATCTGTGAATTAAGATTACCGACAATAACCATCATTGCCATGTACCCTTTCGGTAGACACACTTTAGTTGTTTTTGTAGTATATTTTTGAAATAAAATTAAATTCAATAATGCATTTAAAAATACACAAAATGTATAAAAGTAGTAGGTAATACCGCAGAAAACACATAATCCAGATGGCTCCTTACGTGTTAAAAATTGTCGACTCTATTTCACTCCTGTTTGGATAAATATTGGAGTGACATTTGAATAATCTGAAATTTTTAGATTTCTATTCTAATTTTTTTGAGAGGTTTTGTTTTGATTATGTGTTATCTGTGGTAATACTCAGTGGAAGGAACATTGCTTATTATGGCCCATTACAAAGAACCGCACTACATTTGCCAGACACAGCACTGAAATTGTCATTGAACTTAGTAGACTCACTATAATTTTGACAGCTTCCTGTCTTTTCTGACGAGGTATATCTTAAATTTTAGCGAGTGTTCTACTATGAAATATTTTGCCCATCTCTGTTTTAGTCAATGTTTCTACCATTCTAGAGGAAGATACAGGGCCCGAATTTCTGGAACTTTGACATAAAAACGTTACGCTTTCAAAGCGGCAAGCCAAAGTATTCGATGAGCACAATGCCAAGCAGTCGATTTTGGTATTCTCGTTGCCGTGCGAATCGCGTTGAGCACATATTGACAGCATCGCAATTTCTCAGGTATCTAACAGTCAAATGTGAATAAAACAATGAAAAATGTCAATATTACGTGAATTTCATAACCTATTGTTGAGTATGTCAACTTATTTTTCTATGGATATTTCATTATTCTTATTATATGAGGGAAATGATGAAAAGGCTTCTCAACATTTTCGATGTTTCGAACAATATTTATAGCTGCCAAGATTATCAGTTACTTATTGAGAAATTTATAGAAGAAGTAGTTTTCACTAAAGAGCAAGAGAACGCACGAAATCACATTTTTTTCTATTTTTACTAACAGTTCGACAAGCAAAACGATCCTTTAAGGAAGCCGTTTTCAAATCGCTTAGCGGAATGAGTAAAGACGCTAAGCGCGTCAGATGAGGATACCCAAATAGGTAGTTAAGTGCGTGCCATTAAGCAAAAATTAACGTCATCTACGCTGAGCGTCTAAAGGCGCTTAGCGTTTTCTAAGTTACAGAATTCGGGCCCAGTAGTAGCACTCTAGGATTCTTCCACAGTGCACATAATCCCTCTGCATGTTCTTAATCTTTATGAACTTCGTTACAGGTATGGCAATGAAATGCGGAGACGTTGTTATGGGTCTGAACGGAAAATCCATCATGATCACCGACACTGACAACGAGGGGCGGCTTATTTTGGCGGACGCTTTGGTATACGGACAGAACGCACACAGTCCAAGACTCATCATCGATGTGGCCAGTTTAACACCAGGTGTTCGGGCCGCTCTGGGATCAGCTGCTAGCGGGGTCTTCTGTAATTCTCAAACTATGTGGTCACAGGTAAGATTTACGTCGCTCTTTTTTCAGACTTACCTGACTGTCTCTATGCCACTTTTATCATCACAGGGAGGATTATTGAATAAATTTATTATCATCATACATTTATTTCTTAGTTTATTAGATTATTCAGTATGATGCAATCGTTATCTTTCTACAGAGGGTGGTCCGAATTGTATTCGGAAAACTTCGCCAGCGTATTCTGCGGGTAAAAATAGGAAGTAAAAAAGTTCGTATATATTATTGTATTTATATGTCCTAAAATGATTCGTTTTGGAGATACAGGGTGTAAAAGTTTTATTTTTATTTCGGGGTTTTCCAAATAATTTTTGATCTATAGTCCACATTTTGATGAAAATTGGTGTCTGAGAGTTTTTTGCCATGAGAAATTTGATGTCGAGGTCAATATGACTCTTACTTGAGGGGGCGCCACCTATATGTTCTTTAACTGTTTTGAAGAGTAATAACTTTTTGTCCGTACCTGTGTTAAACTACTGTGTGAAAAAGATATATTTATATTTTCGTCGTTTTTTTTGTCATTCGTTTTGACACTTTAATTTTGTGTAACAATATTTTGGTTTAAATGAATTTGTTGTGATACTTTCAGCTTAAAAATGTTTACTAGCAGACCTTGCAGTCGAACATTGTTATTATTAGAACCTCTTTTTGTGCGAAGTGTACAAGATAGCTTAATAGCCGCGAAAAAACTTATCGCAACTTTATTAGAATATTTTGAATGGGAAGGCGGTAGTAATGGCTCTTTATGTCTTTTAAGTGCTGTTAAGCAGGTGAGTTTTGTTGATATAAATAATAACTGTTTATATACAGGGTGGCGCACCTCATTTGCCTCGGTTGATTATACGAAAACGGAAAGATGTAGAAACAAAACATTTTATGGGTATATGTGGGGAGCCAATATGTACAATTTAAAATTATTTTGAAATATACAGGTTGTTTCAGAACTAAGATCCATACCAAAGTTATATTTTTCTTATGGAACACCCGGTATTTTATTTCATTTTTGGATTCTTGGGCCCAAAAAAAGGCATTTATTATAAGGGTATAAATATGTTTAGAATCTTTAGTTTTTGAGATATTTAAAGATATTTAAATTTGCATGCTACAATAGAATAGATTAACACCCTGTACATTACTTTTCAGAATTCATTCTTATGTTGAGTTTAAAGGCAGAGAAATAAACTTTACTGAAAAATGGTATTGCTTCCTTAAATTTACACAAGACTATCAAAAGTTGCTGATCTATTTTAAGGATATATTTTATATAAAAACTTCATTATTTCAAATAATGTCATTGTACCTTGTATTTTTAAAATAAATCGAAGCAGATTCAAATGCTCTGTCAAACTATATTAGGGTTTCCTATACATATCTAGCTCAGATTTTGAATAAAAAAGCAATTTTTAAATAAAATTGTAATATTATTTATAATTTTTAACAGTTGACTTAAATGTACAGGGTGGGTCAAATTCGACGCTTTTAAATGGAAACACCCTTTTTCTATAGGAGATAGACGAAAACTAATATCGGTGTCTGGAGCTTAATTTTCATCAAAAACATGATGGCGAAAACCGCACATCAATATATGTTACCGTTTCGGAGTTACGGGGTGTTTTTCAAAAATGTGCATTTTTAACAAATCACTGTAACTTTTTGCTATGGAAAATTTTGTATTTCTATGAAAAGATTTCCAAAGCACCTTTTACGTAGAATTTAATGGTTTAAGTATAATTTTTTAAAATTAATAATTTAAGAGTTATCAACAGAAAATTTGATTTTTATTTGGGACACCCTCTATATTTTTAATTAACTTAAAAGAATTTAAAATTACCTTCCCAAAATATAGCACACTTGATATTTTGTTATAATCCCCTTCGAAATACAGAGTTTTTAAAAAGTTCGCCACTTTTAACTAGTAGGCTTTGGATCTCTTATGATATGCCCTTAATGAAACTCGAAAACATATTTTTCCAGCAAGACGACGCACCGCCTCTGAACGCTGAAGTTATCAGCAAATTTTTGCAGCCAATTTCAAGAATAATTGAATAGCTAACCAAGATCCCAGCCGTTGGCCGTCGAGGCCGCCTGACTTAGTGCCCATGGATCTAATCCTATGGATATATTTGCGGACCGTATAATCTAGACAAGAATTAGAAATACTTAGCAGTTATGAGAGGGTGTCTTCCATCTCCACTGAGTTAATGAATTCCGCGAGAAATGTTCAAAAACTGCACCGTCTGTCCAAAACAGAAGACGGTCGATATGTCTAACATCTGTGGCAAAATCTCATGTCTTGGTTTGCTATTTATTTTTATTGTTATTAGATATAGTTTATATGTGTTGATGTTGGTTAAATCTATTTTAAATTGTTATAAAATTCTGCAACTCTTATAGCAAATATTATTTTCGTTTTAATTGATGCTCACAGCTAGAATTTTTTTGCATTACAGCCGGTGCCGTGCAAAGCCTACTTATTTAAAGCGGGCGAATTTTTATATACTCTATATCTCGAAGAGGAATCGAGCAAAATATCAAGTGTGTTATATTTTTGGAAAGGTAATTTTAAATTCTTTTCAATAAATTAAAAATATACAGGGTGTCCCATATAAAAAATCAAATTTTCTGTTGATAATTCTTAAATTATTAATTTAAAAAAATTATACTTAAACCATTAAATTCTACGTAAAAAGGCGCTTTGGAAATGTTTTCATAGAAATACAAAATTTTCCATAGCAAAAAAGTTACAGCGATTTGTTAAAAATGCATTATTTTTGAAAAACACCCCGTAACTCCGAAACGGTAACAGATATCGATATTGGGTTTTCACCATCATATTTTTGACAAAAATTGAGCTCCAGACACCGATATTAGTTTTTGTCTATCTCCTATAGAAAAGGGTGTTTCCATTTAAAAGCGTCGAATTTGACCCTCCCTGTATACCTACCTAAAATAGTTTAATAAGTAAGTATTCATTATTTCATCAAGAAAAATAAAGCAGTATCTGCTGGCGGAACGAATAGATATATTACTAATGATTTTATTTTGTGAGGAAAATTGCATCTTTGCCTCAAGTGCTTATGCTCAAAGATATTCAATTAGGAATCTTCCTGATAAGCGTTTCTTTGAAAAACTACTTGTCCTATTTCACAGAGCTGGTAGTGTGGTTTATAAAAAACCTATTAGGCAGAAACCTGTCGTTGGAAGCGAAGAAAATGAATTTACCGTAATTGGGTATATTATATTATAGAAAATCCATATATCTACAAGTCATATCGTAAAATAAATGAAAACTACTTCTTCGGTTTTTTAAACGCCAGAATTTTTTAAGTTTATAGTCAACTATGATTTGCATTTAAAAAAATATATTTTTTATTATTTCTGACAAAAAGAGCAAGCATAGAAAAAAAATGACTACGGCACTGGATTGTGCTTACAAAAGTGCCTTCAGAAATTTTTACATAATTTTATTATTCCGCGAAATAAAAAAGTTATGGGCAATTTTCAAAAAGGTAAAAAATTCAAAAAGACTCCTTATCTCAGTGAAAATATCAACAGGCGGTTTGTGCCACTAAACGTGTCTAAAAAATCGAGCCTCTATCTCAAAATATTGCTCTATCTAGTCTGGAAATAGGTTTTCTCTGTTAAAACAGACCAATTTGGATCACCCTATATACCTCGTATACCTTCAAACAGGTATACGTAAATCCGATGACGCGTTCCTTTCCTTTCCTATCCCTTTTTAGTTTGATAACACTCGGTAATACCTTATCAACAAGAATTTTCTTTTATTTTCAGGTACGAAAAGCAGGAGTAATAACAGGCGACAGAGTTTGGCGGCTACCCCTCTGGAAATACTTCACGAAGAAAGTCACTCAGTTCCGGTCGCACGACGTAAACAACAAGGGCCTGGGTCACGGGTCCTCCTGCATCGGCGCCGCGTTCCTCAACGAGTTCATCGACTGCGTCGACTGGATCCACTTTGACGTGACCGGCGTCGGTTTCAGAGCCGAAGAGAAGAACTACTCGTACCTCACAAAAGGCAGGATGACGGGCCGGCCGACGCGGACGCTGATCCAACTCCTCTACCAGCTGTCTTGTCCGTCGGAGGGTCAACGGAAACTCGAATAGGAGATTTCCTCCTTGTAACGCTCCTCCTCCTCCTTCCTCCCTCCCTCTTTCCCCTCTCATCATCCCCTTTTTATGCTCACATTTCATCGTCTCTTGTCGATATAAAACAATTTACCTCACTTAGTTTAAATTGCAACGTGTGGAAACAGGGTGAACTGCGAGCGAACTGTCTTGCCAAAATCGCTCCAGTTTTGCTGTCCATAGTTTCTAGATATAGAATTTAGTCCCTGTCCGGGGTGGTATATGGGTTATTACTGACTAGTGTTATAGAGGCAGTGTGGTCGACTGCTAACTATGAATTTGTTCAAGTCTAACGCATTTTTCCCGCTTTATTCTCCGGGCCTAAAGCGCCCGGAAAATAGATTTAAAAAAAGTAAATAAATAATAATAGAAAATGTGCGAGCTAAATCGTGTGAGGTTGTTCTTTTTTTGAGAATAGTGTCGTTTTACGAGATCCGAAATGAGAGAGATGCGCAAGCGTTGAGGAAATCATCCGGTTCTGCAAGAAAATCGGCGTCGAAGACAAGTTATGGGTCACTGTCTTTGTTTTTGTATATTTATATTATGAACGTGTTTTATGTAAAGCTATGTACACAAATAAATATTTATTATTGTTTTACAGTTTGCATTGTTTTTATTGCTTTAAGCTTAATTCAGAACCTCGCAAGTAGTGGAATAAATTAGTGGTTTCAATTAGCGTAGAAGTTTGTTCCTCTAAAATCAATGTAAGCATTCACAACGTCAAAACTAGTGGTTGCAATGTTCAATTAGTGGAAAAAGTTAACAAACTTTTAACTTTTCTACTACTTATACTTTTAAATTTGCGAGGAATGTCATTTTGGTCTTTGATTATTATTCGTCAAGACAAAAAATTTGGTTAGACATCAAAAGTTTATTGTGTTATAAACTAAATATTAGGCTTTCTCTATGGATACAACCGACTAATGCAAGCTGTTGCTAGGATATTCTATTAATTTTAATTGTGTTTTTTATACATGGTGAATAATCGGAAACTAAAAAGTATAAAGTGTAATTGAAACCACTGCCTAATTTATTCCATTAATTGCGAGGTTCTGAATGAAGCTATATTCTTATTTCCAATATCGCCAACAATTTTAAATAAGGTGCTATTGATGTCCTCACTAATATTTTTATGAACTTCAATAAAAAATTGTTTGATGAGATGTAGGAGCATAAAAAGTAGAGCCACGGAAGATTTCAACGTGACATCCAAAAAATGACAAAAATGACAACAATTGTCACAAAAAGATTATAGCTTCTACAGTTTATTAATCAAATTTATTTTATTCGCTAGAAAAGTACTATGGAAGTAAACATTTGACCGTTTCAATGTGGGAAAATATTTTAAATATACCGGGTGGTGCATTGTCGTTGGAAACATAGGAAATCCCATGCAAATTTTGAATTGTCAAAATAGCGGATCCACTAAGTTTAGATTGGAAAGTGCCCATAAGGACAATGTAAACACTATTTGGCGCTATTCTTGCAACGGTCGCGACCCAAAACTTTTGAAAATTTCGGAGCGGTGCCAAATATTGTTTATTCAAATTTATTATTATTTTCGTTTAATTTTATAAATAAAACACAGTGTGTCGCATACAAGAAACTTTATTTTATATAAGGACGCATGTATGAAATACCTATGAAACATTGGAAACCGACGTTATGCCAGGTTATGTCACGATCCACGATGGTTTGTGCAGTTCACAGTTCACAGCACAGCTTTTTATGTTTTTAATGCCACTTTTTCACAATTATCACCGGTTGGAGTAAATAAAACTTGAATTAAACTCACAAGACAGCAATAATTACTTTGAAAATGGACGCTATAAACACTTTTAGGAATTTCTATAATGAGAGCGGTTTAGATTTTGAAAGATTATTATGATTTTTGAAGATTCTGACCATTGCCTGGAAACTTATATGGTGAAATTTTGATAAAATAATTTAGTACTCACTAAAAACAGGGTATGTCGCTAGTGGTAAGAAAAATAATTTTTAGAGGTTATTAGTTTATTTGGTTGCCTGTGATATGCATATACAGGGTGTTTCCTAATTAATCTAAAAAATATAAAATCGTTAAAAACGAATTAAGGCGGGCTCTTAATCAGTATATTTATTTTTTTCGACAACCGTTTGATGAACAAGATCAATTTTGTTGAAAAAAAAAGGATGGCCAGTCAAGAAAAAATATATTTTCTTTTTAAAAAGCAGTGGTGTACCATTTATGTTAAGCAAAAAATGATTTTTTTAATTTTTAACACCCTGAAGATCAGAAAGGAAGTACTTCAGACCCAATGGTTATATAAAATTGTTTTAAGAACACATGAGGAATCACACCATACTTTTTTTAGACTACTCCTCGAAAAACACCCTGTGTATTGTCAACTTGACAATTACTGCTGATAAATCAAAAATTCCTTTTCAGTGAAAAAGCCTGATTTTCGCAAAATTTTTTTTAAAAAATTTTTGATTTTTATTGAATTTGGGCCTGCGTTTGCAAATACTGGTTTGTTTTTTTAATTTTTCTATCTTTATCTAAATATCATAGTCAGAAATAGTTTTATTATTTATTAACTGTAAAAGTGGCGTTTTCTTGTTGTGTTGCATCTTGCAAAGAAATTAACAAAACTCGGCAAAAATGTACGTGTTTCCAAAAAACGATAAGGTATGTATCTTTAGATAAAAGAAAATATATGGTATGTGGCCTTTGTTTTGATTTTTTTTTTTGTTCGCTTTAAAACCTATAAACTTCGGTTTATTTATTAGACAGCCAGTTGACTTACGATCATTTACATGAAATCCTGTAAAATGGGGCCAAAAAATAAATTGTAAACATATATATTTGTGGAAAGTCTCTTATTAAAGTTACCCTGATATACTAATATATCAAAGTGTAACTTTAAAAAATAAAAAAAAATCCTTTGAATTCAAATATAAACATAAAGAACATTTACAGCAGAAAAGTCGAAGGCGCTGGGTTAAACGTGGTCTCTACTAAGAACACGGAGGGGCGCTTTGAACAATTTTGGACTAGCCGATTTTAAGCAATTCAAGAAAAACTGCATCTATTTTTAAATTAAAATTGAACAGGTAACGATGCAAAACCAGGCTAATGCCAACGTACCTCAAGTTGCCAACCTGTGATTTTTTAATCCCAAATTTTAGGCTTTTGTTTCATTCGAAACAGTTTAAAATTACAGAAATGTATTTCGGGGACACTAATCGTAGGAATTATGACGTAGTACTGTAGACAGCACAACAAACATTTGACAATGATAAAATCATTCATTCAGTTTTAATTTAAAAATAGATGCAATTTTTCGCTAAATCACTTAAAATCAGCTTGTCCAAAACTGTTCAAAATTTTACATGTGTGTATTCAGCAAACGCATATCTTTAAAAAACTATTTACGAATTCGCTATAAAATCAACAGGGCAGCCAATATTTAGACAGTTTAACATTTGCATGGGATTTCCTATGTTTCCAACGACGCCCGACGCCCGACGCCCGACGCCGATGATACACTACCCCGTATAATAACAATTGTATTAACTGTATTAATTATTCTACAAATTATATATATATATATATATATATATATATATATATATATATATATATATATATATATATATATATATATATATATATATATATATATATATATATATATATATATATATATATATATATATATATATATATATATATATATATATATAATTTTATTTTTTAAACTCCTTTATTTTTATTAAAAGGTATTAAAGATACATGTACAGGGTGGGTCAAATTCGACGCTTTTAAATGGAAACACCCTTTTCTATAGGAGATAGGCAAAAACTAATATCGGTGTTTGACAATCAATTTTTGTCAAAAACATGATGGTGAAAACCGCATATCGATATCTGTTGTTACCGTTTCGAAGTTACGGGGTGTTTTTCAAAAATATGTATTTTTAATAAATCGCTGTAACTTTTTTGCTATGGAAAATTTTGTATTTTTATGAAAACATTTCCAAAGCACCTTTTTACGTAGAATTTAATGGTTTAAGTATAATTTTTTTAAAATTAATAATTTAAGAATTATCAACAGAAAATTTGATTTTTTATATGGGACACCCTGTATATTTTTAATTTATTGAAAAGAATTTAAAATTACCTTTCCAAAAATATAACACACTTGATATTTTGCTCGATTCCTCTTCGAGATATCGAGTATATAAAAATTCGCCCGCTTTAAATAAGTAGGCTTTGAACGGCATCGGCTGTACCTAATGCAAAAAAATTCTAGCTGTGAGCATCAATTAAAACGAAAATAATATTTGCTATGAGAGATGCAGAATTTTATAACAATTTAAAACATATTTAACCAACATCAACACATTTAAACTATATCTAGCAACAATAAAAATAAATAGCAAACAGCATGAGATTTTGCTACAGGTGTTCGACGTATCAACCGTCTTCTGTTACGGACAGACGGGGCAGTTTTTGAACATTTCTCGCGGAATTCATTAACTCAGTGGGGATGAAAGATACCCTCTCATAACTGCTAAGTATTTCTAATTCTTGTCTAGATTATACGGAAGAATAAGGAACCTTTATTCTTCCGCAAATATATCCATAGGATTAGGATCCATGGGCACTAAGTCAGGCGGCCTCGACGGCCAACGGCTGGGATCTTGGTTAGCTATTCAATTATTCTTGAAATTGGCTGCAAAAATTTGCTGATAACTTCAGCGTTCAGAGGCGGTGCGTCGTCTTGCTGAAAAAATATATTTTCGAGTTCCATTAAGGGCATATCATCAATAAGGGGTCCAAAGCCTACTAGTTAAAAGTGGCGAAAAATTCTGTATTTCGAAGGGGATTATAACAAAATATCAAGTGTGCTATATTTTTGTAAATTTAAATTCTTTTCAATTAATTAAAAATATAGAGGGTGTCCCAAATAAAAAATCAATTTTTCTGTTGATAACTCTTAAATTATTAATTTTAAAAGAAAATATACTTAAACCATTAAATTCTACGTAAAAAGGTGCTTTGGAAATGTTTTCATAGAAATACAAAATTTTCCATAGCAAAAAAGTTACAGCGACTTGTTAAAAATGCACATTTTTGAAAAACACTCCTTAATTCCGAAACGGTAACAGATGTTGATTTAACAGATATTGGTAACAGATATTGACAGCGGTTTTCACCATCATGTTTTTGATGAAAATTGAGCTCCAGACACCGATATTAGTTTTCGTCTATCTCCTATAGAAGAGGGTGTTTCCATTTAAAAGCGTCGAATTTGACCCACCCTGTACAATATGATCGAAAAAAAAAACGGCGTCCGAAATGGCTATAAAATGAAGATCGTCGTCATTTTATATGTAAAATTATATGGGGAATGTCATCGATCGTCCAAGCTAACTGGACGCGGTTTTTTTCGATCATACGGTATTTTCCCAGCATTTAATGACATTTCTGGGTAATATTCAAAGATTATTAAGACAAATTAAAGTTAGGTGTTTCCGAGTAACCTTCAAGCTATTTTGAATTTTGACTATATCGTTTATTGAGAGCTAAAATTTTTATCAGATTTATATGCAAATTAAAATCTATTAGGATGATAAATAAAAATAAATATGCATTTTTAAGCGGTTCTTTTAAATTTTATTTGATGTACCTACCAAGGCTAAGCAACAGAATATATAATTTTACTTTAAAATGACAGCGATCGTCATTTCCAGGCCAATTCTAACGCCTTTTTTTAAATAAAATTGTATTTTATACAGAGTGAGTGTTAAATAAGTGCAAATATTTTCAGGGCTGGTAGATCTCGATAAAAGAAACATATCTCTTTACCGTTTTTCAAATACATATGTCCAAAATAACCGAGTTATTTTATTTTGAAAATCTCAAAAAAATGATTTTTTGCTTAAATTTTAAGAACTGCTCTTTTCTGGGTTTTCTTTCTTGTAAATTTAATCTAGTACTTATGTTGTACTTATGTAGTAGTTACGTTTTTAACTAAAAACTAAAAAAAAATCCAAATTTTTAAAAAAAACCAAACCAAACCAAACCAAATTTGAAATTTGTTTTTTCGCTAAAGAAACCTTTATAATGGGTTTCAAAAATGTTTTCATATTGGTAGAAATATACTACCCCTAAAAATATTTGCACTTATTTAAGATTCATAATGTATACGTCTGAAAGATATTTGTTAAACCAAGCGCCCATATGGTGCGACCAAAGACATTATAAAGATAGATCGAACATCTCATTCATAAATACTCGTTGGTAGTGTATCAAACATTCCAATGTATCAGACAAGGACAGAAGAGACAGAGAAGTCTAAAATCTCCGACCCCGGCAACTAGGCGCATTTAGATTGTTCTAATGGCCAGTGGCGTATCGTTTTTTGGAACGAATTTAATTAGTAAAGTAAAAGTAAAGTAATTAGTAAAATTTTTACTCCATATTGATATACTACATTTTTCGTCAGATGAGTTTTGTTATAAGGTCTACTATGATTAATATCCCACATATTATATACATATGTGGATATGTTAGAGTACTAAGCTTTTTCTATCACGTCTTTCTTGGAGTACCTCTTCCTCTAAGTACTTCTCTTTATCATTTTTCAAATAAGTCCAAAATAAGGGAGTTATTTTACTTTGAAAATTTCCAAAAAAAATGATTTTTTGCTAAAATTTTGAGAACCACTGGATCTTTTCTGGATTTTCTTTCTTGTAAATTTAATCTAATACCTATGTTGCCATATTATCAAGAAATAATGTTTTTTAACTAAAAACTAAAAAAAAATCCAAAAAAATTTTCAAAAAATTTCGAATTTGCGAAAAAAACTTCATAGGCGTGTTTCTGGGGTTGAATTATACTACCAGTTAAAATATTTGCACTTATTTCTGGGATACCCTGTATAAAATAACCCCGTGGAAATCACTTGAATACGGGCAACTTTGAAATTGCAACACAACTGTGGCCGCAGGAAATGATCGCGAGCAACAAATTTGTGAATGATTGCAAACTATACAGGGTTGTTCACCACATACGACACGGAGTATTGTAGCTAAACGATGAGATTTTTACAAATTGTAAGTTTTGGGTTCGATGAAGGACTATTAGAGGTACAATTTAAAAATAATTTTACAAGATACAGAGTGTCCCAAATAAGTAAAAAATATGAAAGTTATATTTTTTTAAATGGAACACCCTGTATATGATTACACTTTTAGTTTTTACGATTAAAATAAAGGTAAATTTGATTACGATTTATTATACTTAAACCTTACCGTTTTTGAAACATTTTCAATTTTGTGAAATTGCAGTAAAAATTTTAAGGCTTTATTTCTCTAAGGGTATCAAAGTTTTTAATACTAAATATTTACTGTAGTTTATTTACTGATCAGTGATTGTGTTGCAATAATAAAAATAATACTACCTTATACAGAGTGTCTAAAAATTTATTTTAAATAATTATTAGCTTCAAACGGCAATAACTTGTTTAATTTAAATGGAACATCCTGTATATTTTACGAGAATCAGATGCACAATTTAATTGTCTATCAAATTATATTATACCATTTTTACCTATCTCTTTAAGTTTCCGTAGAAAATGCATTTTCTTGTAATTTAGAACTTATTTATCAATATACCCATGGACTATTGACATTTTAGATTATTTTTAAAGATGTACCAAATTTTTAAAGAGTACAGATACTAATATTGTCGATATAATTCGTTTATTTCATTAAAAAATAAAAAAAAAAAACTGTTTAAATATTTGTTAAAGAAGACCAATTAATATGACTCCAGTATTCAAACTACATTAACTGACTGTTTGCGTTGATTAATAATAATTGCTCCAAATACTAAAAAACTGAATTTTGTATGGCCATTAGACAGTGTGATAAAAAGTAACACCTTAAAAATGATATTTCATTTTTTAATAAATGCTTATTTATAACAACAGAGACTTTAATTTGATAACTTATTATTATATTGATTTCTGACTCAAATCCACATTTATTTATAATAATTTATTAACGAACACAATTAAGTATGTAATTAATTAGTATATGGGCGAAAATAATGGTGTTATATTTAATTAATGGTATACTCTTTTATAAAGATTTAAATAGTTTTCTTTTTGCATACAAATGGGCTAGTAATATTATCGTTTTGCTAAAAACGATAATATTACTAGTCTGTACATTTTGTACATTTGTTGCTTTAAAAACAATATAAAATGTCAATATTCCATGGATATATTGATAAATGAGGTCTAAATTATAAGAAAATGCATTTTCTACGAAAACTTGAAGGGATAGGTAAAAAATGGTATAATACAATTTGATAGACAATTTAATTGTGCATCTGATTCTCCTAAAATATACAGGGCATTCCATTTAAATTAAAGAAGTTATTGCCGTTTGAAGCTAATAATTATTTAAAATAAATTTTTAGACACTCTGTATAAGGTAGTATTATTTTTATTATTGCAACACAATAACTGATCAATAAATAAACTTCATTAAATATTTAGTATTATAAACATTGATACCCTTGGAGAAATGAAGCTTTAAAATTTTTCCTGCAATTTCACAAAATTGAAAATATTTCAAAAACGGTAAGGTTTAAGTATAATAAACCTTAATCAAATTTACCTTTAATTTAATCGTAGAAACTAAAAATGTAATAATATACAGGGTGTTCCATTTAAAAAAATACAACTTTGATATTTTTTATTTATTTGGGACACTCTGTATCTTGTAAAAATATTTTTAAATTGTAGCTCTAATCTAATAGTCCTTCAACGAACCCCAAACTTACAATTTGTAAAAATCTCATCGTTTAGCTACAATACTCCATGTCGTATATGGTGAACAACCCTGTATAGTTCCATTCGAATCGATTCGTGTGCGGCTTCATACTACTATACCATAGTATAATTTCCTTCTACTGTGACTATACGTTACCGAGGTTGCAAAATAGTTGCAAGCTCAACTAAATTGCAACTTTTGTCACTTCTGTCAACAGTCGCACCGTGGGAGCTAGGCCTTAATCTACCAGATGCTGCTTCTGGCTGATTTTTGCGATTTTGTAGTACACTATAAATTCCTTAGTTTACGGATTCATGCAATACTACAGGTATTTTTCTTACGTCTTGCATATTCTATAAATACCTAGTAATTAATTAATGTTAATATGAAAATAAAACCATAACAGTAAAATCACCATTTTAAATTATGAATACAAATTGCAAAACAATCTGATGCAACTCTTCGTCGAATATCATCATACTTAGTGAGATTTTTTCATATTTCTGTAATTCAAATCTGCCAAAGTCCAACAATTTACTTATTTATTTATTCTACAAAATGGTCATACCAACAAAGACTTGTTAGTATGACTTAGCAGGTAATATGACAATTTTCTGTATTTGAAGTAATTAATAGAATAAAAATGTTTCTGTGAATATTTAATTCAAACAGAATACATTAAAATACACTGCTTATCGTAAAAACTCAGTTTAATTATTTTTATAGTTTCGTTTGCCTTTGCTCCTGACAAATTTGAATTTTTGTGGGTTTGTTGAGCATTTCCGTGTTTAATCTGTAATATAGGTATATTTTTTCTTTTATAAGTTAATATGGGACAAAGTATACAGAATGTCCGCGGATCGTCTTTCTAAGAGGAAAAAGAAAACATTTTGAGAAAAATGCATTCTTTACAAAACAAATTGTGTGTGCACTATGTGTTAACTGGTTAATACTATATAATAAATATTCGTTATTACTATACCTAATAATATAATAAATATTTGAAGTTTTTTTTAATTTTTTTGAACTCTTTAATTAATTTTTTTAAAAGGTCCGATTAAATTTATATCTCCGAAACTAAAGTTTAAAAAAAAAAGTCATACTATACTAGAAATTCTAGTTGCATAGTGCACGAAACGTTGTCAAAATATCAAGCAAGGATGGGACTCTTCATAGATAAATATAATTTATTTATTTTAAACAAAAAAGAGTCAATAATTTTAATTATTAATTATTAGCAAGAAGCACGACACTAAAAAACATTAACCCCAAAAAAGTCTTTCAATAATAGCTACAACATAAGCTAAAAATATGGACCCAAAAAATTCCCATCCCATAATATTTTAGATATGAGTATAACTATATTTTAACGTTTTTTTCTAGAAATATTCCTTTGGAATTTTTTATTTCCGGGAGTGTATAAAAATCGAGTCAAACAAGTTGTTACAACCAGGTACAAGGAGATAAACAACATTAGAATAAAAGGTGCAAAGATTCTGTTTAACAAATCAGTTGAAATCGACTAGCTAACGTTCGAGGTTGAAGAGGATGCTGAAAAATATAACTTTTTCTATTTTAAATATTCTTGTGTGTCAATGAATGTTCTGGAATTTTTGGTGATTACGAGAACACAACAAATACAAAGGTAAAAATTATTTTCAATTTTATTATCTACTGTTTTTTTATTATTTCATATCTTTATTAAAACCATACGATTAAAAAAAATGCTTCAGAGATGGCTTGAAAATGAAGATCGCTGTCATTATTAGGTAAAATGATATGGATAATGTTATTGATCGTTATTTCCAAGCTAACTGGACGGCGTTTTTTTCGATCTTAAGGTATTGATATACCGGGTGCGTTTTAAAAGGTGTTTCAACCCTATAAGTTTTTTATTTTTTCAGATAAAAAACGAGATTTGGTTTATTACTATATGAAATAAATTAGGATTGATTGGCGTATTTAATTGTTTTCAGCCACTTCCTGTTTTACCGGAAATTACTACAACTTTTGATTTTTATATGGCACCCTCGGTATATTTTTACTTTATTCGATGAAAAATGACACTCTGAATAGAATGACATATCATATGTAAACTTTCGACATTCTCGATTAAAAAAATGGTATTCAAATTTAAATCTAGAGTCCTATGGTTGTGTTATAAACACTATTTTTTAATCAAGGAGTCTTGGAAAAATTGATTTGATCGTCCAATGTTTTTCGTGTCTTATCCTGGCGTGTTAAAAGATGCCCAAATCATATTTTTAATCATATCTCAATTTTTTCAAATTGAACGAGGATGGCTCATTAGCGTATTGGGAAAAGCATTTTTTGCGAATAATTTGGTACCACACGTCAAAACGTCAAAAGTTGACATGTGATACGTTTTTCTATTCAAAGTGCCATTTTCTATAAAATAAAATGAAAAAATACCGTGGGTGCAATTTAAAAATCGAAAGTTGCAGTAATTTCCGGTAAAACTGGAAGTGATCGAAACCAATTGAATAGGCCAATCTTAATTTATGTCATATACTAACATACCAAATCTCGTGCTTTTATCTGAACAAATAAAAAGTTATAGGGGTAGCATATAGGGGTGACTTTTGAGACACACCCGCTACACCTACCTATTAAGGAAATCACTTAAGTTTTTTTGAATTGATTTGTATTGTATGACATTTTTCTATTATTTGTATATTTGTTTTTGTGCTTTTTTGTTTTGTAAATGCTTTGTCGATGAAGCTATTTTGGCTTTTTGTACAGTAAAGCGTTGTTTATTATGTTTATTAATCCCAATATTTTTATTTTATTAAATTAAAAAAATGTTTTTTCTAAATTTTCTGTTTCAGTTTTATATTCGATGATCCTTGGCACATTTTAAAAATAATGATTACCTCTTTTTAAATATTTTGTTTTATTTAGTTTGGAGAAAAACTTGCACATCAAAAAAGGCAGTCGCAGAGGAAACTCCGGCAACAGAAAGGAACTCCAAGTTCTAACTCAAATCCACCACGTACCATAGCTCAGATACTTGAATTCAAGCACACACTGAAAGATTTTCGTTATTTGGAACAGGCATTCAAAATGGTTCATATCGTCAACACTGCTACTTTTGGATCAAACGCTGAGAAAAACTCCAAGTAAGTAAAATCTAAATAAAAGTTAGAATAATAAAATTTATTTTATGAGAGTATAAATAGGTTTTACTTCTGTCTATACAGGGTTAGGCGTTCATTTTTTTTGTCCAAATAAACTGCATTAATAGAATAAATTATTGAATGTTATAGTCTAAGAGCTGGCTACATAAAAAACCTTATCATCGTTACATGGCTAATTTTTTGTGTGAAGTATCCTTTTGTGTAGCCATTATGAAACAGTCATGTCTGCCAGCGCGATCCCGGGACTTAAAGCGGGGGCGGCCAATTGAAAGGGTGAAATTTTGACACTAAAAATATTATAAGATACATGAATTATAATTGCGAAAATAGCTTTTATTTGTTATTAAGAAACGTGGAAAATTGTTGGCAGACATTTTTCTAGTCGCTAAAATGCCGACAGACAACGCGAAAGAGCCATGAAATTTTAAAAATTATTAAAAAATGAAATTTGAAGAATGAAAAAAATTATGGCATATTTGCATGCCGATTGGTGAAATGTCATATTTATTTATTTTAAAAGCCGTAGGCAAAAGGGCAGACAAAAAGATCGTGGCTCAATCAGCTGCAGACAGTTATCAAAAGCCCGATATTACTCTAGCGCTTTATTCAGGGAACGCTGGCCGCCTCCTCTATTTAAGTATAGATAAATCATATAATCGATCTGCTAAATCATATAATATCCGATAATAACCGATCTGCTAAATCATATAATATACGATTATATTATGAATATATTTTTTTATTATTTCAATAACGATTTTTTTGTTTGCCCTTTTGCATACGGCTTTTTAAATTAATTAACAATACACATGACATTCCATCAACCGACATGCATGTATGCGATGATTTTCTTTTGCCAAAATTCTATGCCTCTCTCGCGTTGTCTGCCGGCATTTCAGCCACGAGAAAAATGTCTGTCAACAATTTTACACGTTTCCTAATAATAAATAAAAGCTATTTGGCAATTACAACTCGTGTACCTTATAATATTTTTAGTGTCAAAATTTCACCCTTTCGATTGGCCGCCGCTGCTTCAAGCCCCGGGATCGCGCTGGCAGACATGACTATTTCACAATGGCTACACAAAAGGATACTTCACACTAAAAATTAGCCATGTAACGATGATAAGGTTTTTTATGTAGCCAGTTCTCGGTCTATTATTTTTATAATTAATAAAGTTGTTTTTAGCCAATGCTCAGTTTATATTGCTGACAGATGTGGGCCTTTTTTTATTTATTTTTGTCGTTAATATATTATTAATTAAATTTTTATTTTGTTTACAGAAAGATTATGTCTTCCACGTTTTCTAAACCTGAAGTAAAAACGAACAAGACTCAAGGAAAATCATCTGTGGATCCCAAGTATGGCGCTTGGGGATCTACCTTCAAAAATAAAGATCATTTTAGCAGTTTACATCTTTGTTAGCTAGTCTTTTTACTAATGTTTTCTAATTTAAATGAATATGATATTACAATTGGATAGCTTTTTGTATAAAGGAACTAATTTATAAAAATATATAAAAAGAGTAAAGTTATTCAAGCATTTTTCCTTCAAAACGCTATTCAGTTTAAATAAATTGACATTACTATAAACCACACCAAATTTATATTAATTGAAACATGTTTTTAATTTTTACGCATTTTTAACATTATTTTGAAGCATTTTAAAATATTGTACAGTGTTGTTAAGTAGCTTTTACATTCTTACATGTACCATTGCGATAAAAAAAAGTAGTACAAGAATTAGTAGTTCCAGATAGAACTCCTGGTCTATATATCTGGATATCGAGAAGTGAATATCGTCGAACAATACAATTATGCCACCTAACTTTTTAGGCGTTATAATGAATTTGGTAATAATTGGTAGGTATACGTGGCGAAATAAAGATATAAAAAATTTACCTACCTTTTAAAAATGGGCAATTTTTCAAGTTTTTTTTTATTTTATTATAGACCAGCAGATTAAATCATATTTTGTTGTACTACTTTTTTTATCGCAATATACGTACCAAATGATATTTGACAACTTCAAATCCAAATAATTTAAATTTTGTAGTATACAAATAGATTATAGATATTATATTAAAAACAAGTGATATAGATGTAAACTTTACTAATATTATATTAAATATTATAATACATGGTATTAATAAAAAATAAAATATACAAAATGTATAAATTTGAAAAATAAATTATGTTGTAAACGGTTGGACTTCTGAGTTGTTTTCTTTATTTGTGACTTTCTTCCACCATAGTTTTTCAGTAAATATTACAATAAATGATAAGAGGAAACCTACAGATTAAAAATATGTTAAATTTGATCAGTTACATAAAAAGCAAAGTTGATGATGATTGCTAAGAAATAATACATCAGATTGAAAATGTTATATCAAGTTGTGGAGTAGGAAAAGTATCGACAGGATTGTAAAGTTTGTAGGATTGTATCTGTTAAAATTCATTTAGAAAATTATGGAAGCTATTGGGGGGGGGGTTAGGTATTCGTTCGTAATCGGATTTTTTAGATTTCGAAACATGACGTTGTAGGGTTTAGCAAGGCAGGTTTGTTGGTTTACAAGAACCCTGTAGACTGCATTTTTATATGGGTATACTTATTCGTAAATATGCTTAATAATTTAAAAGTTTTTCTTGGAGATGGATTTTTGTTGTTTGAGGGATTTCTTACCTAAAGCTAAAATGAAGAAACTGCCTTGCATATCATCCAAGTTGACAGTATGATTGTTCACTTCAACACTGCGTTTTTTCTTCCAACATTTGTCTTTTTTTGGTAGATAATCTTCTAACCATTTCTGTATTAAACCGACCTGGTGTAGTTTTTTAATTCTAAAAGTTATAACAAATATACCTTAGAATTAAAAACTATTCACTTTTAAAAAGTAAAGTAAAGATTTCAGTTAACGTCTCCTTTTTGCTGCCAGGGCTAATCTGGACGGGGCCTACTTTGTTTACGCGGAATCCAAACCGCGGTCCTCGGCCATATCGTGGTCAATGGCCTACCGACTTGGCAAGTGTCTAAATCGACTCTTACTCACGAGATATCCGATCTCATCCGGCCTCGAACCGGCGTGAATGAGCAGTGTGTGTCAATAGATTTTACACTTTTACCTTTATTGGACAACGGCACGATACAGAGTTTCGAACCGGTCACCCGTCCATCCACTAGTATCGCCTTACGTCGCTTAACTTCGGTGTTCTAAAGGGAACCGGTGTTTCGACGTAGCTAGGCCGTTGCTCTATTCGCTTTTAAGTACCGTATGATCGAATAGAAACGGCGGCGGCGTCCAGTTGGCTTGGAAATGACGATCGATGACATTCCCGATATAATTTTACATATAAAATAACAGCGATCTGACGCCGTTTTTTTTCGATCTGGATGTTGGAATCCATGACATTACAACAGCAAAAAACACTGCTTTACCACAGTACACCAATGCACTTACTTTAAATTCTGGACCTACGTTTCGCTACCCATATTAGGTACCATCCTCAGAAGATGATTATAATTATGTTTTAAAGATATCATAGTTAGTGAAACGCACGTCCAGTGTCTAAAAGTAGTGTTTTGGTGTATTATCACAGATTAGGTATCCTATAAGTATACAGATAAAAATCTTGTCCCTAATTCGTGGTACGAAAGTTGTTTTTTATGACGATGTGCAAACGAGTCAAATTCCCTGTGCGCAAAAATAAACTCGCGTAAAATAACAATAAACAGCGTAATAGAGAGATATCGCTAAACCAAATAGCGTGCATGGACGTTAATAAGGCCAGGTGTTATTTCCTTTACGTGAGGTGGTATTAACTCTCTTTATTTATAGTTATCGGATCGGAAAGAATTCTGATCGCGTCGCGTCCGTTATTTAAACTTAACCTAACTTTGAATTTAAAACTTTGAAATTGTTTTGTTTACTAGGTATTTTAAAACTAAAAGGGCTAAAGTGGCTTATTTCCAGTGCTTTATTGTTCAACGTCTGCCAGTGGGTTTAGGGCAACAAGCAGCAAATTCTCTTAGAAGGGCTAAGTCGTCATCTGCTGTAAACCTAAGACTCTTTATAGGTTCTTTAGTATTGGAAGAGGTGGAATCCATATTTATTTAATTAAAACTAATCCCAGCTACTTAAATATCAAATTACCTAACAAAACTAAAGCAATAATTCAAAACAATTCAAACATAACCTAAAATAAAAGATCTCGCCGCGCGCCGCGCCGGCCGGCTCCGGTTGTCAAATACCCGCACATGCCAATTTAAGCAATTTTTAAACGTTATCAGAGGTTATTTAGAGAGAGCGCTTGGTGTAATTTATTCGCAAATTACGTCAGGCGGTAACGTTATTAGCGGGTGCGTTAAAAATTGACTCGCGCATATCGTAACCATGATAAGGTACGCGTAAATACTGGATGACGCTATTCGGTTTTCCGATATCTCTCTAATAGCTGTGCCGGTCAGGCGCTGTGCACAATTTTAGAGGCCATAAGTGGACGTGCTATGTGCGCAAACTAGTCACCTAACTAGTGCCCGATTCCGAAAATTGGAACCACGAAAAACAATAAAGAAAAAAACAAAGATTATAATCTGTATAATCTGTGGTATTATGGTGACCTAGTGCTTTAATTAGTTGAAAATGACGATCGATCGCAGTTACCATATAATTTTACGTGTGTTCACTGTTTATGTGTCGTTTAAAAAGTCATGTATCTTCATTTCCAATACAACTCTGACGCCCTTTTTTATCGTATTGTAATATGACAGTGACAGTTCTTTGTAATTTAAATACAAAAGTAGATTATTGTTCTGTCATTTTTGGTTGTCATCTGTAGAAATATTCTCTCATGTGAGATACTTTAAATATTCCTTTATTTGTTTTATTATAGGTATGGTGTTTGACCGTATGATCGAAAAAAAAACGGCGTCAAAGACGGCTGGGGAATGACGATCGATATCAATTTTGTAGAGGTCAATCTCTAGACGTTCCCATCATCTACATGATTCCCAGGCACACAAGTCTATTTCCAAAAATTATTTTTCTCGAATTTTAAACTACACCATGGAAAAATAATTTTTACTCAAAATAAAAATAAAATACATCCTTGCTAAGGCCAACTGGCAGTAAGCGCCATGAAAAAATAAAGAAGAGTACGGGTCAATTAAATAACATCTAGGGATTGACCTCGTCAAAATTATTATCGATTTTCATTCCCCAACAGTCTTTGACGCCGTTTTTTTTTCAATCGTATGGTATTTTGCCATATATAAAGTTTTTAATTCACTTGAAATAATAATTACCGTAACGTCTGTTTGAAGACGTCTTGAAAAATCTGACAGAAGACGTCTTGAAAAATGATAGAAAATTCAAATTTACATATGACTTAAGCTTACTTCGGGTTTCTCTTATTACCGATTCTGAACCGTCCTAGAACTGTAATGTGTATGCGCAGAAGGAAATATGAAGACATTATTTCATTCGCGCATGCGCAGAGTTCTAGGACGGTTCAGAATCGGTAATAACAAGAACCCGAAAAATGCTTTAAAATGACAGATAACTGTCACTGTCAAGTGTCAGGTATTCTCTCGTTTGACAGACTTTGGCTTAACTTACTCAGTATTAATTTTATTTAAATATGGTGTATCAGGTGAGACAATTAAGGCAATTTGTTCGTCAAAAAATTCATCAGCTCCTGGAAAAAGTATAATGAATGTTAGGTACATTTTTGGTACTACATGTATAGAATGACCCTGAATGAGATTGCGTTTTAGAATAGTAGTATAGTAAAAATATATAGCACTACGCACCGCTTATAGGCACAGCCTATTCATTAAACAGCCAGTCGATTTCGCTAGTTTGGGGGTATCCGTGCTTCATTTGCCGTGCGTTGTATATGCCGCGCCTACAGATGCAATTGCATAGAGCACCACTCTCAATATTTTTATAAACGAAGCTTCAATGGAGCTCAGAATCCTACTTGTTATATAACATAAGATAAGCAAATATCTAGGTAGGTGTGTAGATCTCCATGTAAATGATCGTAAGTCGACTGGCTGTCTAATGTATAGGCTGTGTTATAGGTAATCAGAAAAAAAAACTGTTATATAAGTCAAAATCGCAATTTTCTAATATTAATGTAGACAATATCTATCTACCTAAAGCTAAATCACAAGTATCGCTTTCTTGAAACTGTTGCTTCATAATATATTGCAGCTTGATCTTCCAATCGATGTGGACATGCTTTCCAGCTTTGATCAAATTGATCATGTTCCGCTTATCGGTCACATCCTTGCTATGTTCGTAAATTATTCTGTACGTTTTATCTTTTGTAACCTAAAATCAAAGTTTCAAGATAAAAATATATTTCTTTCTTTAGATTTTAATATCCAGTTGTAGATATTAAAAAGTTTTTTAACATCTTCTGAAAACACTTTTTATTAACTTCTGTTACGTTTTTCGTCGGTTCCGTGTGGATAGAAAGTCACAATTTATTTAAACACTATTTATTTAACACTAATTAACAGAAACAATAACGATAAAAGACTTATAGAACTATTTACAAACGATTTATAACTAAGAATTTATTTTGAATTTTAGCGCGTCAACTGCACTGGTATATTTAT